AGGGAACTCGGTCGTATCCATGCCAACGGGTTCTCCCCAGCGACCGGCCGTACGCTCCCACGTAATTGCACTGTGCCGTGCGGCCGGCAATACAGGGCGGCAGTCAGGCACTGCAGCAGTGGCAGGTAGAAACCATCTCCAAGCCTTGGGTAATGTTTTCCACGCAATCGCTACGGGATGCCAATCGCGTACATGCCGTAATGATGTCAGCACTGCGCCTGCGATTCTTGCCTCGGTGACGTGAACGGCTCTTCACGGACGCGGCGCCATCCACGCCCACAGTGGGCGCCGGTGACGCGCTCCCATCAAGCGCAAACCCGGACCGCGCACGCCAATCGCCTTCGGCATCATTGCAGCACTGCACTCTCCCCCATATTACGCGTGCACACAGCAACTGTGGCTTCCACATCTGGGGCGGAGCTCCCCGATCTGCGTCCCAGGGGGTTCTGGGGCGGGCGCCAGGGCAAAACACCCCGAGGTGAGTCAGCCGGTACGCCCCCGGACTGGCGACGAAGTTCAATGCGAGCAGGGAAATGACGCCGCCGCAACCAGTACTTGTGCCGGCAGCACCGCCGGTGACCTCTGTCTGAGGAGCGCGGTTCAGCGGGTGGCGGGTGGCGGGCTGTCTCCAAACCGGGCGCGCCACAATTGACGGTCCGCTGGCGTCGTGAACGGACAAGGCGTTGCATCCGCGGGCACGCATCGCGTTTCGAGGTAGGGCGGGCGGAGGTGAGCTGGATGGTGGGCGCTTGAGATGGCAGCGCCCCTGGATTGCCACGGGATGTGCCCGGGCGCGCGGCGGGGGACGGGGCGAGCCGGGCGGCGCCGGACGGCCTCCGGTTGCTCGACCGGGCGCGGGGCCCAGCCGACGATCGAGGCGGCTCGCCGACGGATGCTTGCCAAAATCGCGGCGCCTTTTCCGTGCACTTGACGTGACTGAACCGAGCGAGCATGATTGGCTGCATGGGCCCGAGGCCTCGGTGCGCCGCGCTGGGCCGTGCGCCGAAACAGGGGAGGGCGGCGGCAGCAGAAGGGGTCGGATCGGCGTCGACTGCCTAGGGGGTGATTGTTCTGCCGCAGCCTCCACCGCTATGCCATTGACGGAGCCAATTGGCGTCCCTGTCACCATTCGTAAGCGTGCACTCTGTGGTGGTTGGCACGGGGAGCGCCTCCTCCGGATCGGCGTGGGCGAACCATCGTCTCCCAGTCCCTTCGACGGGCCTTGAACGATTGCCTCGGCGGCCGCGGCCCGCCTGGTCGCCAGAATTCAGCGAGAAATCACAACATCTCTCTGACCACTTGGGCGGCCTGAAGCCCCTCGGCGTCAATCTCGCTCGTGGCAGCAGCACTGCACCCGCGAGCTAAATGCGCCTGCTGTTAAGATAGGACGGTGCTGTCAGTTGTGCGCGGTTGCCGACGCAGCAGAATCGAATGTGCAGCCCCGCACATGAAACGCAGAAGAAGAAAGAGATCGCCAGCGATGTTGCACCGACGCCGCATGCCGCGTCGGGTGACCACCGGCCGTCCCAGCAAGCGCACAGGGCGGAGGGGGGGAGAAAGGGGGTGGGGGGGGGTCCGAGGTATACCCTCGTAAGCATCGCTTCAGTCAGTATTGAATTGGGCTGCGCGAGCTCCAAGAACTTGACAGCCCTCTTGTGCCGCACCCTCCACCCGAGCCTGGCATTGCATGTTGGCGCTTGGCCGAGTACTAATTGTCGCAGCAGCAACCTCCTGTGCGAATCGCTGCGGCCCGCGGGTCCCATGACGAGTCGTGAGTCAGCTCCCACGTCCGATGCCCGGCGGAATGTGTGGTAGATGGTTCACGGGCATCTTGTGCGGGATTGGGGCTTACGAAATAGTACACTGTGTGGCGTTTACTATTGTTGACGTGGCCGTTTGGCGGTATGCCCACACTCACAGGCACACGTGACTCGGGTGTTGTTTTGTTGTACAGCATCGATCACAGGTCGCCCTCCCGTAGCGGAATCCATGGACGCCATTTCCTTGAGGATGACCAATCTGGCTGCCAGGCGGTCCTGAAAGTACCGTAGTACCGTAGTACTGTATAGTCAACGTTTCCGCAGCAAATTATTTTACCGTTATGCTTTTTCCTCTGCATTTTGTTTCAGAGCGTTATTGGTATTTTTTTGTTGCTCCGCAAAAACTGTTAATTAACTTTTCTCTGGAGACAAAAGGCCAAGCGTTACGCTATGTGGAAGGGCTGCACATATCGCAACAACCAGACTTGAGTATGCTGCCAGTAGCTCCGTTGAGCGCCGCGTTGTGCATGCTTCGTGGTGTGTGTAGCAACCTCATCATAGGAGTAGGTATTGAACATATGGGCTTTGATGATGAGGAAAATCTGAAAATTTCTTGTGTGCAGTGACGACCAGGCAAAGGCCACTGTTTGACAACATGAGATCCATGGGATTGACGCTCATCACTATTTTTCTGGTGAGCACCAGTCCACGTTGATTCGATGCTCCGTTGCTCAATATCGCTTGTCATCTTGCTAACAGGAGCGACGCACTTCACACCACTCCCTCGAGGGTGGCTGTGCACTGCTAGATGCTGGCCAGCACTTCACGAAGAAACTGACCCCGCCACCATCTCATTATGTTCATCATAGAGCAATTGCGCGACGTAGTTCTCCCACGAACTCCAATGAAACCGCATGTCCACAATAGCACCATGCAGATCAACTGTACACTGACAGAAACTGCTCACCGTCGTTTGACCTGTTTTGATTGGATCCTGTTGCCCTACTGAACTTTGTAACGTCCTTTGCGAATGCACCACACTCTGTTTGTAGGGGGGCGGTGGCACGCTGTAAAGCCAAATTTACTTGAATGGCATAATCACCAGATGGGACAGTGTTGCCTGAGAAGTTGAGGCATTGTGGATGAACTGCAAGCTAGCCCACTATCTTGTGGTTGCCTGCCTGCTTGCATCACTGGCTGGGCTTGTTGTCCAGGTGTGCACAGCGGGAGTTCAAGCACAGAACCGTGCCTCCGCAGAATCTGGCGCCACTGCAAAATCCACAAAGGGTGGATCTGCCTCTGCGTCTGTCAGTGCGACGGCTGTCAATGGAGAAGTGAAGGCATTCGTGGAAGCCAACGCTGAGGCGAGTGCCTACTGTGCTTTGTCGTGCACATAAAGAACCCCGCCCAACGCACTCATATCTTGCTCAATATGAGGTGTTTTAATGTATCCCACACCGACCTGTCCATACAATTTGTGCAGGGATGCTGTGAGAGTGCCAGCCCCCAGCGCCTTAATCTTGAGTACAGCATGCCTTGGGATCCAAGTTGTGCACTTAGATTGGAACCCCAAGAAAAGATACTGCCATTTATCATGTGTTTCTTTTCACCACTATCCTTAACATGTATCTATTGTCTGTTGATATTCTCGGCCCATATGGACAAGATGGAATCTGCATACAAATTGCAGGCAATGTCACTTCTTTTTTAAAGTTTTGTACTGTAATTTGTGGTGTGAATCCAGCCAGGAAAACATAGAAACAATCTGACACTCCACATAGAGCCTTTGGTGCACATGAAACTTCATTCTGGAATCCGAACAATACAAACATTCCAATGGATGACTACTGAATTGACCTTTGTTACCATTGTGTTGAACATACGACCACCCTTTGAACCCCGCTGTTGCCAAAGGTCTGAACCAGTGGCTAGCTCGTGAACAGACAACATTTCTTCGTCAATTGACGCATTTGCATGACGTTGGCTCCTCAGCTTGCGTGCTCGCTCATACAACCTTGGGAGTTCGCGTCCGTTTCTGCCGTGCTTTGCGTTCTAAATACAGCACTCTGCTTCTCCTTGATGCTCCCCTTGAACTTGGAGACGTCTGCCCCAACTCCACAACGCACAGAATCTGGTCACGCTGCTGCATTCTCTCCAGGGGGTTGCCCCCTGCCGTACATTTTCCTTTCCGTCGTGTACCACGCAGCGGATGCATTGATGTCCTGAGGATTCACGCATCTGTGCCTGTGAGAATGCAACCTTTGTCCATGCCTGTCGAAACACAACCATTATCCCTGTCTGCCGAAGCAAGGTACCCGCGGGGCCCTAAGGCCCCTCGATGCTCCTCAGAGCATCTTTATCGGTGGGTGCTATTGTCCCGGCGGAGCTATTCGGCTATCCGAATAGCACCGCACGTCAAAAAACCATCATTAACGGTTGGGGAGCAACAGCACCCCAATAGCACCCCCGGAGCTATTCGGCGCTGAGAGGCGCTATTTTGGCCCCGAATAGCACCGCTTGGGGCCAAATAGCACCCCAGAATAGCTCCGGTGCTATTCGCGCAGAACATTGTAGTGCTGCCGTGATGCTATTTGGCGTAGGCATAGCACCCGCCATTGCGGATGCGCGCAGGGGAGCAATAGCACCGGCGCTATTCGGCAAATGCCGCCTTAGTAAGGTGGCACGGCAGCCAATGAGAACCGTTCCTGTATAACTCCGCCGGTGCAATAGCACCGACCGATAAAGATGCTCTCAGGGGAATCCCGCTGATGCCCAGACACACCTTTATCCTCGCCTGTCTGAAGTCACCTTGGGCGTGCGTGCATACCGCAGGCTTACGCCGAGGCGGAGAGCGAGATCGCCAAGGCCGTGGCCAAGGCCATCGCCACCGCGGCTGAGGGCGGCGACGCCGACGCCGCTGCCAGTGCCGCGGCCACGGCCATCGGCTGGGCCATCGCCGGCGCTTACGCCTCGGCGTCCGTGTACATAGAGTCCACGGGCGCGGACAACGAAGCGTGCGGAGAGGCGTCCGCGGAGGCCTTCGCCATCGCCACCGCCTTTGCGCAGGCTTACGCCGAGGCCCTGGCGGAGTCGTGCGCCGCGTATGTCTGCGGCAACGCCGACGCCGACGTCGAGGCTCTCGCTTCGGGAACCGCGGAGGTCAGTGCCCGTTCCACGGCGTTGTTTGAATCTTCTGGTACGATTGTGTTGGGCTCGCCGGGAGCGTGGCGACGATCTGCGGAAAAAACGAATGATTAGTAGTGAAGTGAAAATGTCGCTGTTTGTGCCCTCCCTGCTGTTGGTGCTGGGGCGTGTCTTTCATCTCTCTTCTGGTTGACTGGGGGGAGCCGGCAACCTCCTGATTGTCTCCATTCGCTGAGGTTCCTCGCAGGCACGGTGGGCGCAGCGGTGTGTCGACTGGTTCCGTCGCCATCGAGCAAGTAAACAACTTCTTTGCTATGTGAATGCCGCAAGGCACGTTCATTGGACCTGTTTCGGCTGTTGGCTTTCGGAGGCCGTCTTCCGTTTTCCTTCGCCTTCTCCCCTGTTGTTTTCTTGACAAACGAATAGTTGCCCACCAACTGGCATTCCACCCAGTTGTCTTTTGTGCCTCCCACATTTGTTTCCTAGAATGACGCATCCGCGAAGCACCAGGCGTTCCAGCGGGGCCTATTCGTGCAGTCGTGACCTTTCAGGCGGAAGTTGAAACGATGTTATCCTTTTTCGCCGGCAGGCGTATGCGGCTGCGACTGCTGCAGGCTGTGTGGAGGGCAGTGGATCAGTGGACCTCGCGGCGGATACCTGGGCGGAGTCGGTCGTGGAAGTGTATGCCTCGGCGGTGGCAACTGCCGTTACCAGCGTTTCGGCTGGTGAGCGCTTCTTTTGGGCGGCTATCTCGTCCACTGTGCACCTGTCTCTTTGCGCTGCTTGCTCAATTTCGGCTGTTTGTCGCTAGCGATTCGCTGGGGACTGCCCAGCTCGCACAATTGATGTGTGCGTTTCACGATTTCCGACAGGACTCTGCGCTGATGCAGTGTCCGTGCTTTGTGTGGAGAACCGGCGTTGCAGAGTTCACTGGCTTACAGTGCTGGATTGCATGTTTTGTTTGGCGTTGCATGAAGAGAATCGGAAAAGCTGCGCTAGATGAGAACCACAGTGACACTTTGTACTTTACAACTCTCCGCTGAATCTTTAGAATGTCATTTGTGCGAAGTGGTATGCACACATTTTCCCTATTTTGATATTCAGTGCCTTCACCCACAATTGTTGTGCTTTGGGACAGTGCCGCCCTGAATATGAAATTCCAGTGCATTCACCAGTGCTGGGTCGTGCTGAGGAATGCAAGGGCTATAAGCCGGAGACCCAATCGTGGTCCTGACTCAGCCCCTTTTCATTTTGACAATTTCCATAATATGTAAGGTTTAAGTGATCTGCAAAGAAAAAGCAAATCCAGAATTCGAGGATAGTGGCTTCTCACTCAGGCGAGGTGCCCAACCACATGTTTGTAGTACTGGTAACCATTTATATGCAGTGGCTATGCAGAACAACCACTGTAGTGTGGACTACTAGCGCTGGATATTTTGCAACTCGGCTCCTTCTCAATGATTGTCCGGTCGTATTTCGAGTGGGGCCTGATGGTGCGACAAGCCAGTGCTGTCCAACCGAGCATTTGTGCAAGCGCTCAGCAAGGTGATCCGCACAAGCAGTCTGCTTCTTCATTTTACGTTCTCTCTGCCACGCTTACCCACTGCCTCAATCAACACCCTGCCTGCAGGTTCCGCCACCGCCACTGCCACTGCCACTGGAACGTCCGACACCACGGATATGAACGAAGCCGGCAGCACCTCCAATGCGGCTGTGGAGGGCACCGCTTCAGGCACCGCTGGCGGCGTTGCGGAGGCGAGCGCCAGCCAGAATGTTCCATGCGAAGGGGCATTCAAGTTCTGTTGCAACAGCAGGTCCTCCATCAGGAAGAAGAAATGCCGCTGCCCCAAGCCGTAGCCCTTAAGCCTGCTTACGGAAAAAAGAGAAGCTGATGACGTTCCAAATCATTGCCACGACGTCGAAGGGCTGCTCGCCTGCGTTGGATCACATTCTTTGTTAGCTACTGTGCCAGAGATCCTTTGTGACACAGCCACCGCCCTTGGCATCTCCTGCTCATCTGCTGGATGTCCTCTTGAACTCGTGTTTCGCAATGCCCTTGTTGCCTGTATCTGGCTGGCCATTTCAGGTGTCTACTTACCACAGCGACACTGGCGCGGCACTGACCATGACAACCGGTGTTCTTTCGTGGCAGCTGTTCCGGAAATAGTTTCCGGAGTATCTTACGTTATATGCTGTCACCTGAACCACATCAAGACAAGTGTGCCCACGCACCACCCCTCCCAACGCGGAATGTGGCTGGTGCGTTCACACCTTGCATTGGAGGAGACGCACGTGACTTGCAAAGGGTTGGATGCACTGGAGCCAGCATGATTTAGCGGACAGTGGCGCTTACCGCTGGCCTTCGGAATTGATTGTCTGAAAGACTCATTCTTGATATCTGCCTGTGAGACTCATGCCACATTCTCGCCCTTCGAAGAATCACCCACCGCAATGCTGACCCAACTCGACAACTGGCAATTTGACAGGAACTGCAATCTGGAACTCCTGGAGGACGATCCCGTGCTCACCTGGCGCCTCACTTCCAACAAGGTCAACATCGGCAACAGAAGGAACCCCAACACCTTCGAGAAGGGCCACACCTGCTTCTGTGCTTAGGGTTGAACAAAACGTGCGCACGCACATGCATAACGGACGAGGTCTGCGCGGGGCCTCTGGTGTGAGGATCATAAATCTCGGGGGATTGACGTTGGTTGTCACGACAAGGGGGCATCCCACAGAGCAGGGTACTAGAGGGTGGGGTGGGATTGGGGGGTGGGGGGTGGGGGTGGGGGGGGTCGGGGGGCTAACTTCGCCAGTTGTAACCTGTGCGACGGGGTTTGAGAAATCCATGGTGCGCCGGGACGCACGGGTCCTGTGGAGGGCGGATGGAATTGTGGATGGAAGGGCGGCGCGGCTCTTGCGGCTTTGGGGCTCCCTTGCTGAATCCATGCATATCATTATGCCCCCCTGGCGGCGCACGCACGGAAAGGGCGCAACACTGTGCAAAGATTGTTGGGACGAAATTCCTTCCTCTCGCGGGTCGCTCCTCAGCTCCACCAGTAGAAAAGGGCACTTGTGCGTTGCCAACTGCGATGCCATCCCACGCTAATTGATGCCACGACACCCACTTGTGCGTCATCACAGTCACTGTGATGGCGCCACTTTGCGTCAACATGGCATCGCAGCTGATATCGCGAACATGGTGCTTCCTGATAGTGCTGGCTCCGCGCTGCAGCTGCTGTATTACCCTGCCTTCGGCGAACGGGTGGCGCAGCCATGACTGCCAGGCTGGCCGAGGGCGGCACCGACTGCATTGGCAACCAACTTCCTGTTACACGGCCAGCTTTGGGCGTCAGCTGCCTGGCTTCAAATTTGCTCGCAATATTGGAGTGACCAGACGAGGAAGGCCGTCTCCCGTGCCGTGGAGGGAAGAGCCTGCGAGCATAGCGGACTCCGGCCAGGAGAGCCAAGCGCCATGAACGCTGCAAATTTAGAGGTGTCCTCACGTTACTCAAAATATGCTGGCAGCGCCAGCTTGGCACCAAGGTGCCGCAGCAGCCAGGAAGGCAATTTTGCTGTCCTTGCTCCTAGTGAGGTACTACCTTAACTTGCCAAGCACACGTGCTTAGATTCTATGAAAGCATAGTCACGGATTGTGGCTTGTCCCTTTCTGCATTCTGGTTTTATTTTTTACGTTTCCTTGATGTTTGAGACCATCACCTCCAGCGTGGTCTAGCTGCCGACTAGAACTTGCCAAGTCTCGCTTCTGCACAGCCCTGTCGATGTGGAGAGAAGTGTTTCCCGTGTCATACGCCGAAGTCCTGTGGACAAGCAGCCCTGACCCGTGGACCTGACTTGCGTTCCTGACGACCTGACTTCGTCGACCGTTGAGGAGCAGAAGCGACCGGTTGAGACGCTCTGAGCGGCAGCTTTGAGAGGTTCTACAAGCGCATTTGCATGGCTGGCTGGCAGTTGGACGTTTGCTACCCGCTTCAAGCTTCCCCTTGCGGTCGCCGTTGTTTTTGTTGGTTGTCGTCGGCGTGCCAAGCAGTTCTTCGTGAAGAGCCGATTCGCGCGAGGGGCAAAGCTTGGTCGTTGAGTGCACCCTCAACTGACGTGGTGCTGAGGCTGTTGACGTGCCTCAGCTACCCGTTCAGGGGTGATTAGACTGCGCTATCTCCGGGAATGACGGCCAGAATGGACCGCCATCCTTTGCACCACCAGAAACCTGATCCAAAGGCAATCGTACACACCCGCACCCGCCCGCCAGAAAGTTCACCATCGTTCGGCACAGGACAAATTTGAAATTGTTGTCATTGCTGAAGCACACACAGCGCACTGTGCCCGAGTGGGCATCTTTCCAAAACAGCCCAGAGCATTCAGAACTCCCTCGCCTCCCAATTCTTCCCCTCCCTCCAGGCCGTCTCGCTACCCCCTTAACCACCCCAGGACGCCACCAACAAAAAACAGCGGCCAGCAACGAGGCCGCAAAAGAAAGCAGTACAACAACCCCGGCGACCAAACGAACAACGCCAAACGGAAAAGCAATGCAAAAGCCGGCCAAAACAAGCATCCCCGCGTTCCAGGGCTTCCCCCGACGCTTGAAGGGCGCCTTGCAATCAATCGTGGTACGCACATCCCGCGCCGTCACGCGTCCAGGCCCTTCACGATGAGGTACTTGATGCTGACGCACTCCGACTGCGGAACCACCAGGCAGGACCCCTTGTGCCACGCCGCCATCTCCGGGCCCCTGACGACCTCACACACCGCCACCACCGACAAGCCCCCCCCTCTGGCATACCCCGCCGACATATCGTAAGTCAGCCCCAGGTACACCCCAGGCCCGTGGGCAGCGCCGTTCAGCTGGTATCCGCCCTGGCCGCTCATGTTCCTCGCCCCGTGCTTCAGCAGGCTGTACCAATTCTCCAGCCTGGAGCCGTGGAAGGCGTAGGCGTATCCGAACATGCGGCGCCGATCCAGGAAGAGACGGTTGAGGCTCGTGAGTTGGCTGGCGACCTTGAAGACGCGGACGTCGGGGGCGGCGGCCAGGCTGGGGGGCGGCCCAGCGCCCCCGGGGGCGGGGTTGCCGCGGAGGTCGTCCACGACGGCGGCGACGCCGTCGGGGGGCAACTCCGCGATGTGGTTGGGGATGTTCATGATGATCCACCAGAGCACCTCGTAGCAGCTGCGAGCGGCGCAACGGACGGCAATCAGTGGCTGGCGGTCGCCCAGAGGGAGACTTGCTAGCGGCGGCACGCCAACAGTGGGAGGAAAGTTCTTGCGTGTCAGCGGTATCGTATATAGGATGTGCAATGCTATTCGCCAATCAACTGCCATGCAGCTCATGAATTACTAATATTGCTGTACCGTATTATGCCGTATTGTTTTCTGTAATTTCAACACTTCAATATTTATTTTCTATCGTAGTATATTCAACCCTTCCGCATCAAATTTTTTACTGTTACGCTTTTTGCTCCGATTTTTTGGAGCGTCATTTTGCATTGCTCTGCCAAATTTCTGTGAAATGAACGTTATCTATTTTATCTTTTTCTCCGCAGAAAAGCGCCAAGCGTTGCACCACTACGCGGAAGGGTTGAATATATAACAGTATACCGGTACTATTTGCTTTGCGGTTTACCATTTGGACTGACAGAAACTTTGCCCGAGAAGGCGTCGCCGGCCGAACGGGTGAACTCCATGATATGAAATTGCCCATTTCAGATGATCCGGACTGCATCTGGACTATTGGCAACAGTCAGAAGCGTTCCTTGGCAATGCCGCCCACATTGACATGGACGAAAAAGCGCAAACATCGCTACGCTGCATTGCCATTCTCACACATGGGGAGGAGCCCTCCACGGCAGAGAAGTTTCGGCCGTTGAGGTGCGGGCGAGCTTCTTCACAGGGAATTCCAGCGCACCACCCCGACGCCGGAGCTGCACTGTGACGCGCGCCCTTGACGCAAGGAGTTCAACCCACACACTGGTCATGTGTTTGACGTTTGAAGGGAGGGGTTTTTTCCCCATACGCCGGTATCGAAGTGGGTTCCTTTTCAAATGTGTCGTCAATGGAGTGGGGAGCGCTTTGTTCCCGAAGTGCCGATTGGCGCGCCCCACCTCCTGCCCGCCTTCCGCATCACGTCTTTCACCTCGGCCTCGTTTGTGCAGTCCGACAATTCATCCATGGGCGGCAGCTTTGATATGATCTTGCCCAGGCGCTGTAAATCTAGTCCGGGAGGGGCGGGGTTGAAGATCTTATCCCCCCTGCCAGATTCGACAGCGCTCAGCGCCAGCCTCATCAACAGCTGCACCACCAGGGGCCGCCTCTTGACGTCCGAGTACAAGTTCACGTACATTGTGTCACAGCTCCTGAACCTAGGCGAAGCACAGCACAACCAAAAAGATATGGCTGAAATGTGATTTAAATCCAGATCAAGCTTTCAGTGAATGCGCTCAGCGTGGTTAAAACTAAATTCAATGTGGATCCTGTTGACAAGTTTCTGCCAAGGACCAAGTTGGGTGGGGGCGCTCTGGCCATTCTGGGCCGGGCTGCTTTACTGGGCCGTTCCAGGGCCGTGCAATGCCGGGTTTTCTGTCACCATTTTCTGACCTCCGGATCCAATGGGCAGCCGGTTCATCCTTGTAACCTGGGCGTAGACAAGGGAGCCGGCCAAGCTGGCCCTTGGTTTTGGCGGGAGGCTTGGGGGCGAGTGGGAACGGCTATCTGGGCGTGACCCTTGGCGGGCGCCTTTATCTTGTTTCGCATCCACCCGGCCCACCCCAATAGAGTGAGATTCGATTAGCTGTGGGATGGAAAGGGAGCTGAGTACGGGAATCAGGGAGCTGAATCAGGGTTGAGTCACCACCAGAGTGGCATTGAGCACAATGCAAAGGGAGGGCGCGTTTCAAGTTCGCCAATCGGGGCAGTTTATTGAGGTGGTGGACACCAGTACAATTGCCAGAGTAATGTCCTGTCGTTTAGGGAACGCGGGGGGAGGTTGAAGGAGACCGGTGAGGCAGAAACGGGGTACCCAAGTTTTGCTGGCGGACGTCGGGGAGGCTGGGCATTGGAGAATGGTTCACTTGGTGATCACATCACACCTGGCCATCTCATCATATTTCATGCAAAGGGGAATTGGTAGGGCTCCACTCACGCTGCACATGGCTACTTAACATGTGTGTTTTTCGGGAAGCGGCGCTGCGTTTTGCCGCCCCTTTTGTCTTCCACGTCCGCTTGTACGCCCCATAGTTTCTACCATACATGCAAGATCAAAATTCCGTGCGCACACATGCACGCGGTCCTTTGGTTAACCCGGCGTCGGCTTGACAACCGTATCGGCGATTATTGCGGTTCTACCAGGCTTACGGATATCATATTCATTCATTTCGCGTTTCCTGCTTAACCATTCCACTCCACGCCACCGTCCCCTCACCAATCGGGCAGTGCGACTGGGCATTGCTCGTTCCGTGCCCGTGAGTGCACGGCACGAGGCGCGTGTCGGCCCGCCGACAAACAAGCTCTGAAAACGAGAATATATTCGTCCCTATGTCTTTTCTGTGGAGATCCTTCTTCTTCCGCTGACAAGGTCAACGCCGGCCGGTGGATCAGTGGTTTAGGATTTGGGCCCTAAAACCTAAACTTTAAACGTTAGGGTGTCCGAAACAAGGAGACCGTCACAGAGAATACAGAGCGAATAACAGGGTGCCCTCTGGAACCAATGCCGCACACCATGCACTCAATCGCATCGAATCGCATCAAATCGCATCGAATCGCATCGAATCGCATCGAATCGCATCGGATCTCTTCGATTCGGCACCGCCTCCTCTTAGCCACCACCCATCACCCACCACGATCCGAATCCCCCCCTGCTCTCGGCTGCTGACCACCTACCTGCACAGATCGTTGCAGCAGGGCATGGGCACGCCGGCCTCCACGGCCGGCCTGTGCCGCGCGCCGCACAGGTAGCACCGCTCGCCCAGGCGCCGCAGGTTGCTGGTGAGCACGTCGGCCAACATGGCCACCGCGTTGCGCCTCGAGCGCGTGCCCAGCACGCCCAGGCTCTCCGCCACGATCTCCTTCACCGCCTCGCCCACCTGAACGAAGGGCAGAAGAAACGCTCTCAAATGCGCAGACAACCGGTGGGGACTGTAAGGCGCAAAGGCCGTGCTTTGCCTCTCGAAGGGGGGTCCAAACGAGGGTTCTCGGCCCGCGAGGTGCAAGGGGGGCGCTTTGCCAGGCGAGGGAATTCGGCCTGCCCCCCACATGGCGTCACCTGCAAGGCGCAAGGTCCCCGTTTTGTCCCTGGAAAGGCGGCTTTAAGCGGAGGATCTCATCCGGCAAGGCGCAGCGGCCCCGCTGTGTCTTTCAAAGTCAAAATCTTGAAACAAAGGCAAAATCTTGAAACCAGGAGTTCCATGCAGTCGTTCCCACCTCCCTCGTGTCCGCCGGCAACTGGAACACCCCGGCGTAGTTCTCGCTCTGCACCGACAGCCGCTCCCGCACCCTCTCCGCCGCCAGGCCCGGCGCCTCCGCCAGGAACACCACCTCCAGGTCGTTGCGCACCGACATCATCAGCGCCTTGACGTAGCAGATCCCCGTCGTGTCCGACACCGCCGGCCAGCCGCCGAAGGCGCGCCAGTAGCGCGCCACGGCGCTCCCCGTGCCCTCCTCCGGCGACAGGGCCACCCTGGGTGGCGCCCAGCCCCCCGGAATCCTCTCAAACCTCGCGAACACCCCGATCCACTCATCGCATGCCAGCACTCCCCTGCTCCCCTCGTGCACGGGCAAGTGCATCAGCAGCGCCGGCGATCCAGGGACGAGCTCCGCTGTGATGCCGCGCCGAAGCAGGGCGTCATAGGCATCCTCTAGAGCGGAGGCCAGCAGCTCGGTCGTCTCCCTGTTCAGGTCGTCCGTCTCAGCCTCCGTCTCCGCTTCCGTCTCCGTCTCCTGCACGCTGTGGTCGGCCGAACACGCGCCGACGAGGCCGGTGTCCGTCTCGCAGGCCCCGTCGTCGCTGTCCGTGTCGAACGCGCCGATGTCGAACACGCCGCTGCCCTCATCCGACCGCTCCTCCACCACGTCCCCCATTCCCCCTCCCCCTGCCGCGGGATCCCCCGGTGGGCCGCCGAGCCGAGGACCTGATTCAGAATTCTGTCTTGGCCCGGGGATGGCCGGAGATCGGTCGATTGGACGGACTCGAGGGACCCTTGCCCTCGCGGAGGGGCGAGGAAGAGCCGCTTGGGCCAGCGGGCAAGGGGGGGAGGGGGCTCAGCGGGAGAGGCGCAGCCGCGATGAACCCGAAACCAAGCCGCGCGGACGCTGAATCCCAATGTATTTGGCAAATTTATCCGATTTTCAGGGATTTTCAGGGAATTTTCAGGGATTTTGAAAGATCCGTTATCCGATTATTTTTTGCCCCGGCCGGGGCTGGGGTGGGGTGGGAGGGGAACGGAGTGAGGATTCTGCGGGCAGACGGGAACCTGGCAGCCACTTGCTTGCCTTGCTGCTGTGTTGACCAAGGCAGGCAGGGGCGAGGGGTGGCGCCCCATGAATGGGGACCGGAGGCTCCAGTCCACGGCAACGGTTTAAAGCGGAGCAACGGGACAACAGATATATGTCAACATATGTATGTCCCATATATCCAGTCCGTTCATCAAGGTCCTGAACGCAATTCCTTGTGAATCATCACCTTATGGTTCACTTGTTAATAATACTCAGTCAGTTCTAGCTACAACAGTGTCGAATCCACGATGATTGTGAGGGCGAGGCAAATAATCAAGCTATTTTTAGGGAAATGGTGTTAAAGTGTGAACGTTGTGTTAAGCAGGGTGAAATGAATATAAGAGATATGACGTTTCAACGGGCTCGGCAACGATCTGCACCCGAGGATCGCTCCAAGCGCTCCTCTGCCGGCGCGTAAAACCGCCACGAAATGCTGTTGCACCTTTTCGCCTTGTTCTGCAATGCAACTGGGTATGGCTTTGCTTCCCGTGCTTGGGAGGGGCCGCGTGTGAGGGGCCTTGGTATTTGTCTCAGTGACTCTGCGTTGAACGGTCGCGTCCCGCGATCGCTTCACCCTGGTTGGGAGTCCGTTTGTGAAGTGCCACAATTTCTGGGGGATACGGTGTGCCGCTGCAATGCAACGGGACTAGAATCAATCCCTTGGGCGCACCCAACGGATGTGCTGTTGGCCTCCAACTGTGCGAGGACAACGATGATATTAGGGAATGAATGCTGTCGTGGGCGGGTGTGCGGCAACAGCCAGGTGGTTGGCGGGTGCCACAGTCACGTCCAATGATCATGGGCATTACCGCTGTGAAGGTCTGGAAGATAGTTAGGTCATTAGATGGTAAATAATGCTCATCGGATGGAAACGGAAACTGTGTGAGCATGGCTTTGTGTGTGGCGAAACAGACACGGAGATGTAAGCTGCGTGAATGACTCATATGCGTGCCGGTAATGAATGGTTATTCAACAAGGGACATTCGTCCTGCAATGCATCCGGTGAAGGCTTTGTTTCCCGTGATTTGGAGGGACCGCGCTGTGTTGAGCGTGGTTCTCGTCATCGGCATGATGCGATCACGTCAGAAATTAAACGCCAACGCGCCAAAAATTTGAAAGCTCGCTCTGTCCAGCGCAAACGCGACGAATTGGTTAGATGTTTGCGCCCATGTTAGTAATCGCAACAGGCACGTGCACATCAGAACGGGTTGGTTCAGCCAAACTCTCCTATTCTCTACTTTTGGCGTTGGGAGAGGTTTTGAACCGGCCACCAGGAGCATTGAACTGAAGTGGTGAGCCATTCGACCGCCTGGCAATCGCACCAATTGAAGGCGTCCTCTAATAACTAATATTTCTGCTGTTCTCGCTCGGCTAATTTATTCAAATCCTGCACATCCATCCCATGTCGTGCACCCTTTCGCGCACTGATTGTGTGCCGATCTTTCATTACGCGAGTCTACAACCTTTAAATGTCCCCACTGCGATTGAAGTGAATTGGATTTTTGTTGACTTTTTAAAATTCCCAGAGTCTCAGAGCTTGCGGTACTTCCCCACAAAATAGATTTTCTGAGCTTGGCACATCCATTTTCTCCTGAACTAAACCAAACCAGGCCTCCCGCACATCATGCAAGGCTGCTGCAGCTTATACGAGACTTCTGGAGCAGTACCATGTCGAGTTCAAGAGCCGGTTCAGTGGAACTTGCAAGCCTTAATTCCTAATGCACAATGTTCAGGTGTCCAGTGCATTGCAGATCTGAATGCGCTCTAGAGCGCCAGAAGCGCTCGCAAACATCTCCAACAAAGCCTAAAAGCACAGATTGGCAAATCCCATGATCGTGAACCAGCGGCGTCCCTAGCGCTCAGTGCATTGGCTCTCAGTATACTTTCCCGTCTCTGCAAGTAAAACGACGCAGTCTCGCACAGCACAAGGCCTTGGCAGTGTCGGTCCATCCAATGCCGTTGAATTTGCGAGTTGCATTCAGAATTCTTTCCTGGCCCACTTCCGAGCAGTTGATGCATATCTTTGTGCGAAAGACAAACATTAAACGCATTATGGGTGCTCCTTTCAAGGGAATATGCTATGGAAATTGATTGCATTTGCCCGAATTTTCTTGTGCAACTGACCTTGTGACACACTCAGGCCCATCTCCTGCTGTGGGCCACCGTTCAGTGGAGCGCATCCATTCCGATGGAAGGGATGGATATCCATTGCGGTGAAAGGGAATTGTCACAAATGCAAATACAGACACAAATACAAATAAAAATACAAATTTAAAACTCAAAAACAAACACAAACACGAACACAAATACAGATACAAATTGTTCGGGTCGCCAATACATGTTATGAAATTTATGGCGAGCTGGCGACCCATGAGCATCAAAAAGTGGCCAGGAATTGGCGAAAATCCACAAAAGTGAAAAAAGGGCTTCGTCTCCTACAAAGGGACGAACTCCAGCAAAAAAAGGATAATATGGACACAGTAATGCGGCAAGACGTATGTGTGTCTCGATGTGCGCCCAATTCTACCTAGATACGGGACACAATACCGACGCCACGGAGGTCCTACATCCCAAGGAGTGACGCAACGCACTGGGCTCCGGGCGCCAACCCTTTGGACGTGCGCGCTTAGCTTGCGAAGCTGCATCCTCACTCGGGAACCGCTTACGACAACGCAGCACTGCCGGAAGCATGGATCTGCACCGATCGGCCGCAGCGATGCGCGCCGATTGCAATGGACCAATTGGTTCGCGCCGGCGATCGGGATCGAGAAGCTGCGAGCACCGATGGCAATCGGCGGGACCGGCGATGGCTGCGACTCTTGGCGAATCGTCGCCGATAGATCCACTGGCCGGGTGGAGGCCTCGAAGGCTGCGCGAGATTGTGGCTTGTGGAACGCGCACACGGCGAGAGGCGCCAGCGCTGGTGGTGGTGCAACGGCCTCACGGGACAGGTGATGGAGTTTGGGGGGCCAAATGATGTACCGGTACCGGATTACTCATAGTGGCAGACAGGGCAGCGAACGTGGGCATCCAGCGAGACGCTGCATGGCTGAGATTGTGCGTCTCAAGCGCCTTCCCAGACGGGAAGACTTTGCCAATGTCGGCCAAGCTTTCCGTCAAAGGTGATCAGCTGGAACTGTCCCAAGAGAGGTGGTGATGCGTGCTACAACAACCTACGGCATCTGCAAAGCAATCTACGCAATTTGGTGATTATATAATCATATATGCTGCTACGTTTCAAACAAGGCGATCTTCAATATATGTGATTAATGTCATTGTGCGACTGAAAATTTGTGGAAATTGCTGCAAGCCTACGCTGAAGACACTGGCAAATCAAAGCTCTGACGTCCAGCCTTAAGTGACTGAGGAATTCTCAAGGTGCTTGCTGGAAGAGGTTTGACTTCTCAGTGATTGCGTGCACCAAAACGCCAATGCTAACGTGGATTTTCGTGCTGATCAATTGATTCAAGGCAGCCCAGGGCGAGGTGTGATGTCGTGGCTTTTCAATTCCTCTGCTTTAGACAGCTGTATTTTACGTGGTTCTATGAGGTCTGGCAGGCCAATAGGGATGCGACCTGTTGCCCACGGAAACGTCAAGAACTTGGTCATGAATTTGGTTATGAAAATTTATAGACTTTTGTTGCTGATGTGCTGGGTGAGTGTATCAATCCCTAATTCAATAAAGAAGTATCACTGGGCAGATTTGCGGCATGGCTGTGACGTCACAGCGTTGTTTGTGAGCAGCACATTGTACTGCGAGGGAAGGGCAGGCGGGGCCGTAGGTGTGAACGAATATTCCTGCGAATCTATCAGGCCGCGGCACAGATTCGATTGTGGTGCTGTGCGTGTGCTTAAAAGTTGACGAAGGATTGAAGTCATGTCCGGACAGACCATAGTCCGTGAGGTTGTAAGCACTCCGTTGGCATTCTCCTCGCGTGCGACCCGTGCACACAGGCCATGGCGCGCAGCCCGACCAAATCGGCTTCATAGCCAAGAGTTTGAGGTCTCCTGCGCTCGAATTTTGGCGGAGCGTGCCCATCGGAATCTCGCCGTTCGAGTGCATGGGTTTTCAAGCGATTCCGTGAGAATCGAAGCAGCTTCCTGCGTGTTTCTCACCTAAGGCCCAGATTTCTGCGTGAGCCCGGGAGTGCAAAGCCCGGAGGCCAGTTTGAGCTGGATTTTCCGTGGCGCAATCGCTGGCAACGTGTTGGCGAGGGAGCTGTACGACCCCAGACTCGTCTCCTTCGATGCAAATCCAATCGAGCCGGAAGGCGGGACAGGTGAAGGCTTGGCGCTTTGTGGATTTTCACCCGGGTGGCTGCCATGTCAGACGGCCACCTTTTGCAAAATGCAACTGCAACTGCAACTGCAAAATGCAACTGCAACTGCAACTGCAACTGCAACTGCAACTGCAACTGCAACTGCAACTGCAACTGCAACTGCAACTGCAACTGCAACTGCAACTGCAACTGCAACTGCAACTGCAACTGCAACTGCAACTGCAACTGCAACTGCAACTGCAACTACAACTACAACTACAACTAAAAACACAAACACAAATACAAATACAAATACAAATACAAATACAAACACAAATTCAAGAGGCATTTCCATCATTGCGATCATAGGTGGTGGCACAGGCTGTTGACATCATGCTTATGCTGCTGGGAGCGGAGTTGGCTTTAGTGAACGATATGTTATTAAGGAATTCATCATCATTGCGATCATAGACATCCCATCCATCTTGGCCACCATCGACAAACCATGGCCATGCGATCTCTTTGGGCCCCGCGTTGGCGCCCCCGTGGCCCCCCGCCTCCACATGCTCGCACCAAGGGCCCCCGCGGCGAGGGCGGGCGACCTCGCGCCCGCCCTCGCCTGCTCCTCCCACGGCGACGTGCCCGACCGCTTCCCGGAGGACGACTGGCGGCGGCGGTCGCGGCCCATCAGGCCCGGCGGCGTGTACCCGGCCAAGGAGCACTGCAGCCGCTGTGGCCTGTGCGACACGTACTACGTGGCGCACGTCAAGGAGGCGTGCGCGTTCCTGGGCGATGGTGGGCGCCCGTCGGCGTTTGTGGGGGTCTGTTTGCGTGGATTGATTCCATTTCTTGCGATCTTTAGAACTTGGGGATGGCTGTTTAGTTGGGGATATGTGAAGGGGAGAGGGGGGCTGCGCCGGGGAAGGCCGACCGGACTGAAGGCAAACGCAGACTTTTAGGCATCAGCGATCCCCATGAATCCCGCAGCAGGGGTTCGGTGACTTGTCGGGACAATGGGATTCCTGAGCAGTTGCCAAGGTTGGATTCGGTGCTCAGCGTTTGTCTGAACGGCGAGAATTAAGCCACTGTGCGGTGGGCACGTGTGCTGCTGAGCAACGAGGAGATGGGGCTTGGGTTGGGCTGGGTCGTTGCTGGGGCGTGGTTGGAACAGCGGGCGAGCAATGGCGTTGGGGTATGGTCCCTGGGTCGGGCGTTTGGCGATCGATGTGCCTTAGGGACCGGCCCATTTGACGGTCATTGTGCTTTGCGGCACGTGGCGTTGCTCTCCGATGCGTATGTGGCGAAGCGGCAGTGTAGAATTGGGTGGTTCATAGGACGGCCCAGTGGCGAATTCCTTTGCTCGCCATGTTCCTCAAGAATAGGGAAATGAAATGACAGCCAATTTCATTTGCAAGGTTATGTGGACGACTTGTACCATCTCAAAATGTGTTCTTTGCTCATTTCCCATGCTCAGTATCTCCTTGGCGTACCTGGAACAGAGAAAATGCTGCGGTGGGATTCCACAGTTTGTTTTACAAGTTTTGTTTTGTTAGGGTGTGAGCCCATGAGTACCAATGGAAGATGTTAGTACATCAGGCATACACCTGGCGAGCAGAACGGTGACGGCAATCGTCGAACGTCCAACATGTTCAGACAATTTTGGGCTCTTTCAGAGGCGGTCTTATGTGTGAGCAGGGTCGAACAATCAATGTAGATGCCCTTCTTGCTTTCATCGTCGTAGTTTCTGGGTATGATAGGTCACAATTGATAAAATGGAAGGAATGACGCCAACCATTTAGTCTTGCCACTGAAAGCCAGTACCCAATTCTGTCCTATTCTTTCGACAAATGCAATAGAAAGATTTCACCCCCTGTGCCCAAATACCCAATCCCACTGCTGGTGCTTCTCAAGTTGAAGAATGCAGATCCTGCTCGAAGCAGCCCAATGCCAATAATGAATTGTTGAACTTTCGTATAATTAAAGTTAGATATTATTTATAAGCCTCCACATGCATTGGAAAAGTCAAGCATCAATGAATGGATTTGACAAGAGAGAATTCCATTATGCAGCTCTGGTACATGCACATTTGCTTGCCTTAGCGGTACCTAACTTGTTGTTTCTGATAGTATTATGTTGTCTCATCTTTTGTTCTGTGCTTCCAGGCATGTCAAAAATTGACAGGTTGGAGGAAGAAGTCCATGGTCGAAAGAGGTAGATTTCAAACCAGAAATGCAGTGTGTTTCATTCACGGTCACACTATCTTTTAGAATTGCTTGGTGAAATGCACATATGACAGCCAGAGGAACCCAAGCTTGAAAATCCGTCAGTGTTTCTTTAAAGTCAAGCTGCTCAGCCCCACACGCATTTCTAGTTGCCTTCTTGCTGCATTTGGTGCTGGTGTTCACAACAAGGTTCCGCGCACAGCATTTTCATTGTTCTGGGATACTCTCCAACTCATTGTACAGAGACTTCAGCATCACTTTGATCTGCAATGGATACTGTTTCAGCAAGAATGAGCACCCACTCCGCAGCATGTACTGTGGTTGTATTCCAACCTTCGATCGTGTGGTCACTGTCGTGATGGGACCCATGGCACCTCCGCGACCCCCTGAGTCATGCGTTCGCTGGTTCGAATGTGTACCAGTACTCTAAAGTGCGTTCGCATTAGTAAAGGGTAGGACCGCATGAGAACACAGCCAGCTGTCACATCACCCCAGATGTGGTGGTGTCGGCCTGTCACAACCTTCAATCAGGGGGTGATGGACAAAATGTGGCCGCACAAAGTGCAATCTTGTGAGACTGTGCGATCGTAGTTCTAGATAGCATAGTATATTATACCCTTCTGCATTGTAACGCAATGTCCGGCCTGTTCATGCTGAGCAATAATAAAAAAGGTGATGATGCCATGAAAATGTGGAGCAGCCCCGGCTGCGCTGCGAGGGTCTCTGGAGTGCTGCTAATGGCGTATAGTGCCCCCCCTACGCATGAGTCGCTATGGCAGAAAACTGGTATTTGAGTCTATGTGAAGTGAGCGAAGTCGCTATTCCGGGTTTGACCATGTTTTGGAGTCCCCAAACTAATGGTTCGTCTACCAAATGCAGAGCAAATGCCGTAATGCTGAACTGTCAAAAGGTGGAAGGCTTTAATGTGTTATTGTACTCTTTGTTGCTGTGGCATGACCAGCTATTGTGATACTTATTTCTTGAAATTGTGTTGAGGCTATTCTTGTATTTGTATAGCCACTGTTTCTAAAGTAAATGCTAAATTGTTGTGAACTGCTCTGTCAAGTTATGACAACATGGTGCTCTTCCACCCTGCGGGTAGCTGTGGGCAACCATCACTCTGTAGAGAAGTATGCATATCCATCATGATGAACATTCACAATTGTATTGATCATAAATAGAATCACCATACAGATCACCTTTAATGGGGCTGTGCCAAAAGTGAATGTTAACTCCCCCTTCGTAACTTCCAAGCTTGACAATCATTGTCACTATGTCTTGTCTACAGGGACAAGGCGAACGATGATGAACTCCATTTTGGGGTGTACAAGGACATGATGTACGCCAAAAACAGGCCCCCAGTGAAGGGTGCCCAGTGGACGGGGATAGTCACACAGATCGCTATCGACATGCTTCGGTCCAAAAAAGTGGATGCTGTTGTGTGCGTTCAGAGTGATGAAAATGACAGGTGCGCAGTTACTCAGAAGAAATGGAATGTCATGCTAGAAGACATTGTGGAGATTTCGTGCAACAAGGTGGTGTACCAAGCAAATTTTGCCCCCCCATGTGCCACCATTGTGTGATACGATATCTCCAATAGAACAGAACAAAGATGACAATTAGAATAAGAAAAGTATACAATAGAATGATCCGGACAACCTCCAAACCCATAGCCTCGATGAGATGGTTGCCTGCCTAACCACTAGACATAAAGTGTGTGGCAATGGTTTCCACCCAAGACACATGCCCTACACTATTGTGGCCTTGGGTGCTGGAACAATGGCCGGCAGATTTTCGTTTGGAGAGTTTAATTAAAGTTGTTGCCATGGAGCTGCGATGGAGGTATTGCAATGTTTTGTTGTGACAAGGGGAGGCAGAGCCAAAATTGCGCATCGATTTGAGTGTTGCTCTTGACAGGCGAATCCTCTCAGCATGGCCATAGATCTTATGTTCATTTTGGCAAAATAGCAATCCTTGCCTGTTGTCTTAGGCAATGGGATCTGGCTGTGCAGTATGTGACCAACATGCAAAGTAATTCTGTTGCTTGCAGCAATCAGTGTAGTCAAGAAATTTCACACTAAATAAACTACTCCCAACAAAGCACCACCTGCAAATTCGTTTTGGTCTGCATCCCAGTGGTTCAGGCCAGAGGGTACCAGCCTGCTTGCCACCAAATACAGAGTTATAAGTGTTAGACATGTGGCTGAATGGGATCCTCTGTCTGCAGACTTTTGCCCAAGCCCATGGTGGCATTCACAGTGGAGGACATCCTGGCCTCCAAGGGGGTAAAACCCTGCCTGTCTCCCAATTTGAATGTGTTGGCAACAGTGGAGGCCCTGAACGTCAAGAGGCTCTTGTTCATCGGAGTGGGATGCCAGGTGGGAAGCGACAACCCTGTTGTCTGCTCAATGAGATGGGCCACAAAGAACTTTGCTCCCCCCCGTGCACATTGTCCACTTTTTTGAATGGAGCAAACACTGTGAAGAGTTCCACAACGTGTGGGCACTTTGATGATGATGTGGTGATTTGCTGTGGAGCACATTCAAGAACCTTGGGACACGGGTTTCTGGGTGGTAATAACTGTGCAGTTGAAAGCCGGCTCTGCACCAATAGGGGCTGAACATGAATGCCATACCATGGCATGATGGCACACTAGTGATATAAAATGCTGGTCACGATGCTGTGAATACTTTATCCTTGCAATTTTGATGTTTGCGTGTGTGAACAACAGCATGGCTGAGGCTGCAGCATATCCATTGTATGAGCTCAGTCAGGGTGCAATGATTGCTAATTAACGTTCTGCAAAAAACCGTCGAAACCTGTGTGCCGTTAAGTTGCCTGTATGAAGCCTTTGAACCACAGCCAGGCTCAAATTTGTCAGCTCATGTGCATTGCCACACTCTTCTTGTTCACCTTGGTGCACACCTTATGGATCCAGTTGCAATTGAACCGTGGAATTCTGGAGGGCCTGGAGCTGCTTTCGAAACATCTGGCCTACCAACAGCAGATTTGAAACTGTTGAGCACCAATTCCCCAACAAGTGTTGGAGATTATGGATCAAACTTCGGCATCTACAACTGATCAATGCACCAACACAACAGCATCGTGTGTCCAATGTCCTCTTGCATTTCTTGCAGGAAATAGATGATATTTGCTGTGCAACCTAACTTGCCCTATTGTACTGCTACCATGCCCGTGTTTGGAATGCTGTGGAATGTCCTCAAAGACCATGAGTCAGAGCCTATCACCCATTGGCTCCACCGCCAACTGCGCAATGGCCCTTATTGCACATGCATTGTTGTTGCTACTGCTGTCAGTTTGACCGCAATGATGGTGAAAACTGACCATGAGCATGCATCCATCTTGTGCTACAAATGCCCATCCCTGATAAACTCATCTCTGAATGTTGCCTGTCTGCATCTAACATCGCCTTTAACACATTATTTCTTTGCCATTCTCAACACCACAATACACAGCTTTGCTTTCAAAATGTCGTGGATGTTGTGGTGGTGTTGGTCAGATCAAATTGAGCATCGTCACTGCAAAGTGTTGCATGTTTTTGTGATTTTGCGTCTCTGTCTGCCTGCCTTCTATGATCTTCTCGCATGCATTGGGCCAGTGGTACCCATATAAATCAATGGAAGGACAAAAAACATGCAAGGAGGCTGGGTTGTGCATGCACTGACTCCATGCGCAGCCCTTGGTTGCTGACAATTGACTCTCCAGTCTTCCCAACCAGGTCCAGGCACTGCGGTCCATTGAGCAGTACCTCAACTTGGAGGCGCTGTACGTGTTGGGCACCAACTGCGTTGACAACGGCACCCGTGAGGGCCTGGACACCTTTGTCAAGACTGCCAGCACCGACCCTGACACGGTGCTGCACTACGAGTTCATGCAGGACTACCGTGTGCACATTAAGCACACTGACGGGCACTTTGAGTACGTGCCCTTCTTCTCACTACCCTCAAAGAAGCTGAACGGTGTCATCGCGCAGTCGTGCTACAGCTGCTTTGACTACCCGAACTACCTGGCTGACCTTGTGGTGGGGTACATGGGAGTGCCCTACAAGGTGAGCCATATTTCTTTTTGTGTTTTCATACTTTGGGGGGACAGCATGGACAGCACCTCACTTGGTGATCCTTGCTCAGGAGGAGAGTTCTCCATGCATAACATGCTCTAATATGCTAGAACGACCCCGACATCCCCTGGTGGATGCAAGGGCAGCGCTGTTTGCGACAACCAGGGAGTTAAATGCTGAGACAGCAATCTAATGCATCCTGCTTCCTGCATCCTCATTCCTGTGTATACATTTTCTTGCACGAATAGGAAAGGGGCCTCGTTTCATCTTGCTCGAGAAGGGATTGTCCAACGTGTGACATGCCCCCTTCTACCCTCAGGCAACGATTACCTCATAAGCCTATTGCCTCCCTGTGCAGGACTCCAACATGACCTCCCACCCACAGTACCTCACGGTCCGCAACGCCCAGGGCGCCGAGATGCTGGACCTGGTGCGGCCCAAGCTCACCATCACGCCCACCGAGTCCTCAGGCGACCGGCGGCCCTTCGTGATGCAGACCCTCATCTCAGACGATGACGCCAAGCTGGGAGAGGCGCCTGACCCCATGCCGCGGTGGCTGGGCACCATACTGGCATGGGTGCTGGGGCTCCTGCCTGCGGGCCCCAAGGGCCTGGAGTTCGCCAAGTACTCGCTGGACTATCACTACCTGCGGAATTACTTGTACGTGGGGAGGAATTGGGGGCGGGAGGCTGGGAGGCGGCACGTGCCCGAGTATGCGCAGGACATTGTGGGGCAGTACGACCGGAAGGAGATAGCAGACAGGGTGGCGCGGAGGGACGCCGACTACACCGGCGTCAGTTGAGCGGCGATGCTGTTTTTGTCTTAATGTCAGTTTTGGCCTTGTATTTTAACCGCGTAAAGGCGTGCACATTAAAGAGCAGCGCCGCTGTGTAAATGCATTAATTCATTTTGTCAGAAATGGCCAAGGGCCGCCGTCGCACACACGAGGCGATGGCAGCGTTGTTGCTCACATGAACTCGGCGTGGCATAGATGTCTGCTCGGGGGCATTCAGCCATGTTCTGTGGGCTTGCTAGTAGTTTGCGTTTGTGGAAGTTTGTGCCCAACTTCAGCCATGAAACAACTACACCACCGTAGCATATTCAACCCTTCTACACAGTAACATAACGCTTGGCCCTTTTTGCGGAGACAACACTAGAATAAATAACGCTGTTTTAATAAAATTTTTGCAGAGCAACGTAAAAAAATAAGAATGATGCTCTGAAAAAAGAATGCGGAGCAAAAAGCGTAGCAGTAAATTGTTTGATGCGGAACGGTTGAATATACTAGGGCAGTTGATTTTTGCTTGCTAACTTCAGTTTGCTAGTTGCAGCACAGAGCCTGCAACGCCAACGTCACGTTCTGCCTCGACAGCAGCATGGGTGCCTTGGGCCCATTGTCTCAACCCCTTGGTTTCGGATAACTGTGGGACGGCAAGATTGTGCAAGCGGCCACTGTGGGTTTTCAGGGTGGGCTCAACGACGCCTGCCTATGTCACTCGTTTTGGAACAGCAGGTGTTCAGCCCTTGACCACGCCACCAAAATGCCGCGCAGCGCTGACAAACTTGCACCACCGAGGCTATGGCCTGCACGATGCCACCCACGTCAGGGGGTTCGTGGTCAGGAACAAAATGCCGCCCTGATGGAAATGCTGGAGTGGCCTTCAACAGCTGTCCAGTGGCACTGACGTGCTTAAACGTCCTGCATGTCTCGCAGCTCCCAGGGCCTCAGTTCAAAAGATCTCGATCTAACGTACGACGCGTTGCATTGTCAGAAGCGCGTGCGATGTGGTGTCCTTTCGATTTTCATGTGAAGATCGCCAACGGACCCTCATCCGGTCTCCAGCAACACAGGCAGTGGCGAAACTGTGCAGCACTTGCACTCGGTGGCTGCTTTTGGCCGTTGCTGATGGTACCATACGACATCCCATTTCCCCGACATCATTGCACCCTCCCTCCCCGGCCCCCTGCCTGCGGGTCGCCGGGACCGTCGTGATCCCTTTCCTAAAACTGCACCCATTTCTGCGCCTGGGCTTTGGGATTTGGCGCGCCCCGTCTGGCAAAGAGCCCACGACCCTTGTAGAAAGGCAAAGATTTCGGGCAACTGCGATAGCCCCACCAGTCCGCCCTTAGTTCTGGGCTTTCCTGCGCATTCCTGTTAGCAACGACAGTAATTTTCTCGTCCCGGTTCATCAGAACAAACACAGAGACAAATTGGTGTGACTCTGGCTGCTGATCCGCCAGGCGCCCCCCGGAGTACCGAACCTCTCCTTTCTTGAGATCGAGCATTCCTTCGGATTCGAATAACTTGGGGCTTCACATAGCCTTTCAGTCTCTTGCTAGGCGGTACAAGACGCACATAGCTCGTGGTGGGGCGGGGGACCTGCACCTGACCTACCTGGGGGCTGAAATGTACCGTAATATTTTGGATTTGAAAAAAGATGTAGCTTGGGCCTTAAGAGCCTCAAGCCTACACCCCAAAACACCACTCCGCCCCTTCCACCCCCAGAGCACCCTCGCCCAACCCGCCAGTCCCACACCGTACCATGGCTGTCCTCGCCCGCCGCCTGTCCCGCCTTCTACCTCCTACCCTCCCCTCCCCCTTTCCCCTCTCCACGGCCCCCATTGCCGATCCCAACCTGTCAGCGATCGTCCGGGCGTTCAACCCCCTGGACCCCGTGCACCGGGCCTCGATGCCGCCGGCCGATTGGTACACTTCCCCCGAGATCGCCGCCCTCGAAAAAAAGACCACCTGGGCGGCCAATTGGCTGCATGTAGCGAGATCGGGCCAGCTGGATCGCGGGGGGTCGTGCGTGACGGGATGCGCTGCGGGGGCGCCATTCGCGGTGGCGCGGCTGGAGGGTGGAGGCCTGAGGGCGTACCACAACGTGTGCCGGCACAGGGCCGCGCGACTGGTCACGGAGAGGTGGGGGAGGGGGAGAGTGGCTATTGTGCTGGCCCGAAGCTCAAATCCATTTGAATACATTTGTCAAATAAACTTGACAAGACACAGCCCCTGGCACATTAGAGGCGATGCTGGTCCAAAGCGGCGATGAGCAATGTTGGATGAAGAGCAGGGGGAAACGTTCTTTTTGAATTCCAAAATATTGCATGACATTTCGGTGTCCAGGTTTCAGAGCCCAGGTTTCCTGTCCTATCACAAGATACGCGGGCCTTGTGCCACATAGCAAGAGTGGAAGGTGTTCGAATCCAAGAGAATGCTCAGTCTCAAACAGAGAAATGTTATTCACTTTTGTATTTGATGTTTACTTTTGTGTTTTGTTTTTTGTGTTTGCTATTGTTCATTGCAACTTCTGTGTAAATGGATAGCATTTCCCACATTGCTGGCACGGTTTAGGCTGCAATTGTAAAAGTTGTGTAATTTTCTGCCATTTGGAGCTGGTGCTAAATCGCATAAGATGACCAATCATGCTCCCAGCGTTTTTCATGCAGCACTTGCGCTCGCGCTGATGCCTGCCACTGCCTGTGCTGAAGCTCGGGGACCGTGCAGCAGGGCGAGGCCGGTGCAATCTTCAGGTGCCCCTACCATGCATGGGAGTACCGAGTGGAGGACGGGCGGCTGGTGAAGGCGCCGCGGATGGGTGGCGTAGAGGGCTTCAGGGCGCGCAATTACGGTCTCAAGGGGATGGAGGTGCTGGAGTGGGGGCCACTGGTCTTCATACGGCTGGCTGGGTATGAAAAAGGGGCCACTTCCTGAATGGGAGGGTCCTTAACCTTACCAAGCACTTGATATTTATGCTTTGCACTTGTTTGCTGTTACTGCTATTACTTTTTTATTTGCTATAAATAAACATGATTTCGATTTACTGTTACTGTTTGTTATTGCTTTACTACTATTGTTGTTGGCAATGGTAGCTGTGGTGCTGTCACTGCCATATGTATCCATGTTGGTGTTGTGACCATTGGCAATTGTAATACTGTACATCACGAAGCTTAGCACACACCCCGCATTGAGCATCAAGGCTGGCATCCAGAATGCAGAGGGCATTATCTTAAGTGCCCCTGTGCTATCTCACATCCCCGGTCTCCCCCCCCCCCCTCCCGCTTCCCCTGTTCTGCATTCAGTCCATGAGTCATCAATGTCCAAAGTTGCCGCATTGACTACCAGACCAATTCAACACATTAAACCAGTCTGGAACAAAAAAGCCAATCAGAAAATGGATGGGAGGACATCACCGTATAATTTTTGCAACTTCTTGCACTGCGTTGCTGCATCTCTTGACAGTGAACGATTATGTTCCATCATGGGAGATGCATACCCCCACGCTATCCAGCATATACCCCCCACACACACACACACACTCTAGAGCAGTGACCATCTTCAGCGATTCGGCATCTGAAGGCCCCCGCACTATTCAACACACACCCCACACTATCCCTCAGGGTCTACAGTAGTATTGCTAGCCAGCAAATTGTGGTACTTGTTGCTAAAAAGACAGAATACTTATTGCCACCTCAGTTTTATGTTTGGATTTTACAAGTAATTGTATGTAGAGGTACAAGGTCTTACACATTTACAAGATCTTGTATACAGGGTATTAATATGCATCAGATATACACAGGTCTTCATAACTCAGTCCCCTGCACATTCTTTGACTACAGGAACCCTGCTGCCAGTGCAGACAGCAAGTCACTTCACCCCCCTTGCTGGTCCGCCCTTAAGGCACAGCTGGACTCAATGGGCAGATTCTCCTCTGGCCTGACTCATGTGCGCCAGGTAACCTATGACATGGCCTGCAACTGGAAGGTCTTCGTTGATAACTACCTGGATGGCGGCTACCACGTCCCGGTGCTGCATGCAGGGCTCAGCAGACAGCTGGACCTGGACTCTTATCGGACCATCATACGCGGCCGAACGTCGGTTCAGACGTGCTCTTCCGGGGGGAATGTCCCAGGCACGGAAGGTGAGTGATTAAATGAATGCATGTATCCTCAAGAGGGAATGTGGAAGTATGACATGCTAGCCATGTAACATGCCTCTACTGAATTCAAGTCGTCAGGCAGAGCCAGATTTCTAGTGGCCTGCACGCAGCCTCACAGTGCTTGGCAAGAACATCCCAGTCCCACCATCATCGGAGTGAGCTCAGAATGTGAGGATTCGTGGGGGCCATGAGGACGTGGTGTCAGGTCACAGTGACGTCATTCGCTGGCTTAAAATTCGTCACTCGTGGGGGGGATGGGAAGTGGGACTGTCTCTCTTTCTGTGTCATCCCCACTGGTGCCCACATCTGTTCTTTTGATGTCCGTCGGCCTATGTGGGAACGCTGCAAAACGGGAAAATGTGCGAGGGACGGTTGGTCTTTAAACCCCTTCTAATGGAAAAAATGACAGAAAGAAAAGGAAAACGAAGCTGTGGTAACGTGAACATGTCCAGCAGAGTATGCATTTGCCGCTTTTGTATATGCCGTTTATCATATTCTTACTGTTGATGGCTTCTGCATCGACATGGAGTTAGAGTGGCCCTGATGAATCCCTGCTGGAAGGGGTTGCTATGGGGTGCTCCAGTGACAATTCTTCCAGTCTTGGATTGCACATCATGATGTGTAGTCATATGTGTTGATTGACACATAAACGTGCCTCTTCACTGGGGTCTCCTGTATCGTTTCATTGTTAGCCGCATGCAAAACACTGTTTTGATGCAGTGCTGCTGAAGGCCGTGGAAGATACTCCTGTTCTTATGTACAAAAGTTTGGAACAGACCCATTCAGATCGAGTCGACACGTATCCGAGCGAATCGGTTCGAGTATTGAGCACATGCGTACCATCTATTGAGCGTGGTTTGGATTCAGCGGCGGCTTGAGCGGCCGACCAGCAGAATTGCTGCCTTCGTGCGTTTCTGCTTTTCAACTGAGAACCTCTGAAAAAGTCCATGCAAAGCGAAAGTCACAGTTACACTGACCGCCATACGCACAGGCTTGACGTTCCTGTCTTCAGCGCCACTTCATGTCGCCACACTACGCAGAGGGCCGGAAGTTGCAAGTACGTTTGTAGAACCAGCAGCGTTTGCTGGACGCAGAAAGGGTTGCCTTCTTGCAAGGGCAAAATACGCTCGTTTTTCGAAACATATGTAATACATTTGGAATTAAAAAAAAAGGGCAAAATACGACAAAGCACCAAAGGGACCACGCCTGGCCTGGGCGTAAGCACAATGATTTGTCATGCATTGTCGACAAGTGCAGCCATACGATTCAAAGCTGGCACTGTGCACTTTTGTCTTGCACTGCGCTCCTGTGTCTGTAACTTTTGCCCAACTGCTTGGCAGGCTCGGCGGCTGGCGGTGACTTGGAGGGCCGCCTTGGGTCGGGCGCTGCGTACGCCTTCCTGCACCCTAACCTCATGATCAACCGCTACGGCCCGTGGTTGGACACCAACACCGTGGTCCCGCTGAGCCACGCCACCTGCCGCGTCACCTTCGATTACTACGTCGAGGAGCAGGGGCTGGAGGCGGTGGCGGCGGCCGCGGGATGGGGGGCGGACGTGGAGGGCTGGGTGGAGGAGGGCCTGGCGACAAGCGCCCGGGTGCAGGTGCGAGGAGCTCTCTGGGAATGCGAAGCTTACCCATTTCGAGCCTAAGGCTTGAAAACTTGTTGAAAAGTTTTTCAATCTCTGTGGTGGTGTGCTTTGTGTACATTTGAAGTTTCTTTCAACATAAGCGCCTTTGGGAAGGTGATCCCTTCCTTTGATTTCGTCGCTTTCTATTTTGCCATTGATGTGCAAAGTACAAGTTTTTTTCAATGCTCAGGGCGTCGATTTGGTGATGTGATGGCGGAGAAGCAATGATGTCGGAGTGTTAAGCAAACGTTGGTTGAATTTGTCTGTGCCAACGTCGCCCACCATGTGGGTGTGCATTGTTGGTCATGGCTGCGCGGACTGCAGTATTGTGGGGAACTTATGGGTTGGCCTTGAATATATGGCTGCACCAGTTGTTTGGCATTACATGCGGCTTGTCACGTGCTCTTGCACTGAAAGGCGGCGAACGGGCGCCTCAAACTTCCACAATGCGAGATTTTGATCAATGCCCGTCTTTGCTCCTTTTGTCAATGTGGCTCTTCCAATGCGTCACCGTTCCCTTTGTCGCCTTCTTTGATAGCAGGGACAAGGTGATATCGCGAGGACCTTGAGCTTTCCCTTGTGCTGGATATGTACATCGCGTTCGAGAGATTGCGCACTGTCTTTGCTCCAACAGCAAAAGGCTTGTGGCATTGAGCGTGGCAGCGGCGCTGGATGCGCCACAAAGCTGGCAAATGTCCAACAGTTGCACGCAGTGATGATAACGACAATGATATGCAATTCGCGACAATTTTATTGACATTAGCAGCAGCGACAATGGCACAATGTTTCCGCACATCATCACTGTCCCTGTGCCACACGGAGCCCAGTCGCACAATCTTGGCCACGTTCATGGGGCCACTCTGCACCACGCGAGCGAGGTACCGCCGTTCAGGACTGATGCGATCATGGGAGTGGCACTGTGCCCAGGAGGAGGACGTGGGAATATGCGAGGACGTGCAACGTGGCCTGGAGAGCGGCAGCTACGTGCCAGGTCGGTATGCGCCGCGTGTGGAGCACGCCGACCACCATTTCCACTGCATGCTGGCAGAGGAGCTGGAGAGTGGGCTCACGACGCTGTGACGCAGCGACCACTGCAGCCAATGAAACTAGGTAAAAGAACACATTTTGTGTGGTAGCCGCACGCGAAATTGCAATAGTATCAGCAGTAGCCACCATTTGTCGTGGCAATCGTGAGTGCCCAGTGTACAATATATTGGCCTGGCCCATTCTGCACATTGCCAGTTGAGAAACACTGCCGAGTAAGCACATTTGCGCTCAGTGGAGTGCAAAGGTGCAGGATGCAAGCCGAGAGAGGATAGACAGTGCAGATCACAAGACAAGACTGCGAATAACGCTTTTGTGTGGCCGTTTGTAATCTAGGGTTTTGATGTGAATTTAGGGTTGTGGTGTGGGTTGTGGTTGCGGTGCGGGGTTCTGGCTCGTGGGCTGTGGGTTGCGGCGTGCCTTTGACTACATTCGTCGACTATTTGCCAAACACAGACGTTGCGCCTGCGAGGCGATGTCGGCCACATGGCTGCACACAGCTTGCCCAGAACGCGATTCCAAGATCCCAGGATCCCACGTACCTCCGTTGCAAGCCGCTGGGAGCCATAGAGTTGGTGTGAATGGGGCACCCTCTGTCGTTGGGAAAAGTGCATTCACTGTGGGCTGCCTGGCACCGCCCAACAGCTGCAGGGGCGGTGCATTGCTCCGTTTAGGAAAAGGCCATCAATGCAGCTATCCACAGAAATTGTGAACAGCTGAAAACGGCCCGCACGAAATGGGCAATGGCTCACGGGCTCAGGCTGCATTATGGTGCGAATCCAGGCAAGAGGTGCAATGGGTGCAAATGGGATAATACACGAAAATTAGCTGCAGGTAGTGAGCGCGACAGGAAGTTGTGCACATCCAACATTCACTGCAAAGTGACAGAATGCAGCCCATGCTCCTGCAGCGCGATGCTGGGCACATGTCAGCACACCAAACTTACGGAACATGATCTACGTAGGTTCCAAAGTCCACACATAAAATTGATATATTTCGTTCTTTTTTCCGAGGGGGGCCAAGGGAAAGTTCACGCACTAAACAAAATACTTCCAGGATAGGTTAGCAACGAATTGATGCTGTCAAACAGGAAGGAAGAACGCTCAATTAAATGTGATGATCAAACTATTAATGCCGCAATACGTCATCAGGCCCCCACTTTGAGGCCGTTGCCGAATTCGATGACATCATCTCTGCGCAAACCACATCCTGACTACTGCCCTCCAGCAGACATTCCCCGCACACTCGGGGCAGTGCAAGGCCTCGTGCAATTCAACTTCTGCAACGCCGCCATCGATTGTCACATCCACAAGGGCGTCAAGGTTAGACTTCATGCTGGGGAGTTGTAGCCATCCATTCAACACACGTCTGTTCACAGATTAACAGCGCACAATGGTCGTGCAAGTCGCCAAACGCCAACCACAACCCCACCATCAATGCAGCCTCACACTGTATTCCCATCCGTTCGCATTTTGCTTGCAGAAGCATCGCCATTGCTGTTTGAGGCGTTGGTGTTGGGGCCGCTGGAACCAAGCTTGCGAGATAGGGGCTTCATGAGACCCTTAACTTGATTCAGCACGCCTCTGGCCTCCTCCAACACCTGGAATCGAGAGCGCCAAACCAACAGGTGAATCGCCAATTTGACGAGCTAGGAGCATCAATCACACATTTTGCGAAATGCAACGACCATTCGCGCACTTGTGAGTGAAGCATGTTGCGCACACACTACGCAATACCCGCAAATTCATTGGCTGAGGCGGGCATTGGCCTCATGGGTCACAGTGGCAAATGAAATGAACCCAGCAACATAGGGCGAAAACGCTGCAATGACACTGACCATATGTCGTGGGCGAGTTTGTCAGCAGTCTCGTTCTGTGTCAATGGTTCGGATTGATGAGATCGCAATGAGCAGGGGTGAATATAGATTTCGCATATCAAGGTCAGCTCCATTTCATCGGAGTGACCTGTTTGGCCTTGAGATCCACAAGTGGGGAGGGGAAGGGGGTGGGTTCGGGGAGGGGAAGGGTGTGGGTTCGGGGGTGGTGGGGTGGGGGGGTGGCTTGCACCTATTCAGGCTGGCAGGGAACGGCCGTGGGCAGGGCAATGACTGCTGCATCACTGGTTGTGTGCACTCATGGGCCAGGGGAGACAATCCAATATGTAACATTCCCAAGGCTGCCTCCCAGTTGGGAATAGTTGCAACAGCTCGCTCGATGCCACAGCACCTAGGTGCTGCTGTGAGACACAGTCGTTTGTGTGTGGTGTCCCATCGGGTTGATAAGGAGGGCCGAGAGCAGTTGAGCCAACATGCATAGGCCGCGGGCTGTGGCAGGACCTGCTTCTGGGAGGGACCTACTTGCGGAATCCAAGAGAAGCTGAGCAAAAGCATGACCATTCTTGCGGAGGTGAGACAGCCCACCAGCACCAGTCACGTGTAAGCACATGCAAGCGGCAGCCATGTGCCAAGCCACAGCAGGCAGGAAATACATGGGAAGAAAAGAATGCAGCCAAAATGGCTGGGGGCAGAAAGGGCGTTGGGAGAGCCAGCGAGCGATCGTGCAGGCAATCCAATAAGGAAATTTTGCTTGCTGAAGCTTGTAATGATGCAGAAAATCCCAGCTGGACTAGCGGTCAACAAGCTCCGAAATCCAGAAAGAAAACGAATAGACTCGCCTGGCAAAGAAACACGACAACAAACTGGCCCACCAGTTGCGTGACCAGGGTGTGATCAAGTCACAGGACAATACAAGAAAGAACAAAAACAAAAAAGGATCGTGAGATGAGAAAGTCAATGCAATCAGTGAGCAGCCTATCGCCTACTGTTTAAGGCTCAAAGGGACGGAAGAACAGAGAATGCTGGCCAAACCCCCGCTTCTGAACTGGCACCATGTACCAGTGCAACACAGGGCAAGACGTGGTGTTTTTCAGCCCACCAACCCCCAAGTTCGTGCCTCAGGAAGTTTGACAGCGTAAAGGCAGAGTGGAGGGAACAAAGGTGAATATGCATTGCTCTCCCTGCTTCTTTCAAACTAGCTGGGCGGGCAATACTTCAGTCAAAGCACACACTCAATAACAAATCATTCTTTGCAGGCAAGGTGTAACAGAGTATCCCCAACAACATGCAACTGCTTGCACTCTGCAAGTTGGCTGCAGTTATTCAACACTGATAGGCAATTTAGCAACAAAAAGGATACAACACAAAAACACATCAGACAAAGTCTGCTATGCTGCTGCATGCACATCGAGCTCAGCCACAGGCCATCTAAACAGTACCGTGGCAAGGCCAAGCAATCAATGGGAGTCAATCGATCCATACCTCGTCGATCTCCACAACAGTGTCCGCGTCCTTCTCAGCAACATGAATGAATCGTTGTGCCTCCAGGCTGTTGATCTCATACTCCAACCTTGAAACCACTTCAGTAACCTCCTTGAATTTCCTCTGCCTTTCCAGTTCCAATTCATCCTCAGCCAGCCTCTTCATGCTCTTTGCCCGCTCACGTGCAGGTGCACTAGCCTGCAAGCAATGCACTTGCCAGTCAGCAGTGAAGAACCAAAAAAAATACATTCGCGTTGTGCCCAAAGGGATGTCCCAGGCGCTGGGGCACATCAATGGATCTGAACACAGTGCAGTGCTGGGTTAGGCCCGCATATCTTCGCATCACAACAGTCATATTGTAGTGATTTTTAAATTGTTCTTTTATCTATTGGAGAGCCATAGAGCTGGTTCACTGCTTCGGCAATGTCCGGGGACATTGCAGCAGCACACGGTAGCAGCAATGGCCATGTGGGCAGTAGCCAACTTGCGAGCAGTGGGCCAAGCCTGTTTGCTTGCAATGTGGCAAGTTCCTCCTGTAGTAGCATAATGCAGGTTACAAATGGCTCAGTAACTAACATTGAGACTATGTAATTTTGTCTTCCCATATTCCAATATATTCCATAGCATTTATTGCGATTCAAAATGATAAATGGCCAACACAATATCTCAAGATACTATCCAATTCAAGAAACGGATGGAAATTGTGCAAAAAGCAATTGCCACAATCTCGATTCGTTTTGTAACTGTGCTACGCCTGGGTTGATTTCAGGCTGGCGTTTCATGTTTCAACGGACTCGCCGACGCATCAATGCTTGACCTGAGCATGGCGATATGCACAGACAACAACACCACAACAACTGACGGAATACTCTCATATCAGCAAGACCTTATGGGGTGAGACACAAAAAAATGTCATAGTTTTGAGAAAGAAAAGGTTGAGAAGGGCCAAATGCCTTCTGTAGTGGTTGTTCTTCAATTTGCTCACGATTTTCCTGTATTCGGATCAAAGTGACTTCATGGCATTCAGTATGTGTCTCAGTGTTAGTTAACAACAGCTAAAAGCTGAAAGCCACCAAAACTGGCAGCAACAGTCCACCTGATGCATCAGGGCTTACAGGATCAACCAGCTCTTGGAGGTAGCAGAAAACTTCCCACCATTATCGTTTCCAATCTCTTTTCTTGGCCAGCCTGGATGCCCCTAATCATCTTGTCCCTGTATGTTGGCTCCCCCCACTTGCGCCTTATGGCCTCGCTGATCTTCTGACGTTGTTCTACGTCCATCGCCTTTCTTCTTTTGCTCCGTTGAGGTGGAGCGCCAGGTGATTTTGTCAACTGCCGCCCAGCTGGCTTATGTATGGCAAGTCCATCTTCTTTTTCACTTTCTCGCTGCATCAAGTGCAAAAGGAATCAGTTGCTCTCCTCACTGAAGCTCAAGGCCTTTGTGCCCAGGTTGAACATTGTCTGTGCATGCCCTTGTTCGTTTGTTGGTGGCTCAGAAAGCTGCGAAACGACTGCGGAAAGCAACCCAGCAGATTCCTGGTACACGGTGCTCCCATATATTATAGGTTTCTGGGTTTTAAGTAACATCTCAAAATAAACACCAAAAATTTGTGTTTCTAGCCATACAGACACCCCGAGAGTATGTTTTTGCTGCTTTTGTGCCTGCTCTTTGCTTCGATTTTCACCCTGGCTGTCGGTTGCTCCTATAGTGCTGCACAGTAAAAGGGCATAACCTGATCTCTCTGGGTGGTGTTGCTCCCATGTGTGAAATGTTTTGACAGCGTAAGACATCTCCACACTCACACAAAAGGGTGGGTGCCTCTGCAGGTGGCTGTCTGACTCTGTCAGGACGTCGCCCAACAACGATGTGTTGCCTGCCCTTTCTGCTCTACTGTGCAGCCGTGCATAGAGGCCACAGCAAGGTTACAATCTCACGGCAGGTCATCCACGGATATCCAGTGATTTGGTCCACCCTGACCACACATTCATGCCTGTACATATGTCCCATCCATCCACACACTCGTACATAATGTCACATCATATCATCATACCATACAGGACATCTGAGCATATCATCACACAACTTAACTGTTTTATTGTTTGTTGAATTTTCGGATTCCAGTTTCTTCCACAATGGTACATGAAATAACATATCCTCCTATTCTTGGAGGCTTCTGGGTAATCTACCACAACAAGGAAGGGAGGCTAACTAGCAAGCCTAGGTGCCAAGGGTGCCAGGAGTAGGGTTGCCCAGTGCATCATTTACTCTCATTTCTGCTCAGCAGACACTCTTCAACCCCATGTGCATTCACTGCTGGTTTGATCCTTTGGCAACACTCATAGTGCCACCCCGGCTTGTGATTGTTCCTCACCTTTAGTTGGGCGCTCTGTTTCACAGCCAGCAGGTCGCCTTTCTGTTTGCGCAATTTTGCATGGTGTGCCTTCATACTGGAACTGATCCTCAACTGGGGCACATAAGATTAACTGTCAACAACATGCCTCATTTTTGACATAAATAAAGCCATTCATACCTATACCTATACCTATACCTATACCTATGCCTATACATGTATCTGCAAAAAAGTAACAAATGCACTTTTCCATTTGCCCATTTCAGGCTGAGAGGGGCTCCAGCGAAGTGTCCCACAGATGGCACGCTGAAGTCACATATTGATTTCTCACAAACAAGACCCAGGAGTGCACAGATCAGTCAGCTCCACAGGGAAACAGTGTGAAGCTGCTGCTGCTGTCATAAAACCAGCCTAGAATGGCAAAGGCAAAGTCCTGCTGCAGGAAGATGCCTATATCTGAAGGTAATGTGACAGCATATGGGCACCTGCTCTTGATTGAGACATCCTTCAGGAACCATTGCATGGAACTGCTTTGACTGCATTTGCCACAAAAGAATGCCTCAAACAATAAACTGCCAACATCTTCTGCTGTACTTGACACATTAATGCAGATATGATATCAAGCATAAGAACATATATACACACAATCACATACTGATTATCAATATATTACTGTTTTACTTCTGTAATTCATGCATGCATGCACGCACGCACGCACATTTTCATATGTTGTTGGAGTCTCCAAGGTCAGAAGTAACATTGCAAATCACCTTGGCTTCTTCAGTGTGTGGCCCTCTCCGCCTCTCAGAAAGCTTCTGCTTCACTTCCGGCCTCTGCATGGCCTCCAGCGTCCCCGCCTTTATTTTTGCCAACAAATCTACACCATAACCCCAAGAGCACATATACTCAGTCAAGCCTTCTCAATGACATGTCCTTCAGCATTGTTTGCAAGTGCTGCCACACAAACCAGCCAATGTGGGCAAGTACAACTGAAGCATTCCAAGATAGAACTCAGAGCAGCAGTGTGTGTCGCGTTGACATTCATGCAGCCCAGTGAACTGCTCAACTGTCAAGGTGATGGCCTCAAATTTTTTCTTCACTGATTAGAGGCCTGCACACATGTTTCTGATGATTTGCAAGAGCACAGACACGAATGGCCAAATTTTCTGTCTCCATGACAACCATCATCTCTTCCTAACCCAAGCCAATTGGGCTGCAACTATCCTCACACTGTCACAACGCGGGGAGAGGCAGCCTCTCCAATCAAGGTTGCGTGTGCCTTGCCTTGCTGGTTGCTGTGCAACTCCTCTGCTGGGCTCAGAAAAGTCTGAACAACTTTCCTTTGTCTGGGTATAGCGCCCAAATTCTTGCCAGGAGTTCTGCAGCCTTTGCACTCCCGGACGGACAGAGTTCTGGTTTCTTTTCTGGGAGGCGCATGCCCATAGTAGGCATGTGGATTTTGCTGAAGTGTACGAGTTGATATTATGGTCCTCGTTTGGAGGCCTTGAGCTCTTCAGCGGTTATTGTGCTTCAATCCATAAAAACAGAGGTGCAAAAAATTCACAGCGCAAATTCCAATACCCTCCTGCCTGCCCGTTCCTGTTCTCCATTCTTTCTACCGCTAAACACTGGTCTGGATGGACAACACGGGCACCATTCAGAACGTGGGGCGCAGCATTGGGACCTGACCATAGGCTTTTTCTGGCTAGGGACGGAGGCGCCTCCCTTCCGGCATTCCCGCTCTCTGAAACCACGTGCACCAGCACCGTACCCCCACACAATCCCACCCACAACACCAGCACCCCCCTCACCCGCCGAAGCCTTCCTCCCTTTGTTCCAAGGCACCTTGCGCGCGTTCCTGGCGCCGATCCTCGCCCGCCGCAGCGCCTCCTTGGCCGGCAGGTCCACGTACTTCTCCGGTATCATCACTCCCTCCACCACCCGCCCCCCCTCGACCCCTTCGGCTTCATCCCACGAGGCCCCCGCCGTGGACGCACGCTCCCCCGCCCGACGCGCCTCGATCGCCTCGAAGGCGGATCGCGAGGGCAGATCTTCCGCCTCCACCGCCCCCGCATCTCCCATGGTCCTGTGGGTCGGTGAGTTCGGCGAAGTGGCGATTTCCTCTGCATCCGAAGCTCGTCTAGTGACTTCGGACGAGAGACTGGCGACGTGCAGTCGAAGGGGGCGCAGGGAGGCACGAGCAGTGCCTGGGGACTCCGCCAGGCCGCGCGGGCGGCTCGGGGCAGCCGGCGCGCAGCCCTTGGTGGCCACCCGTCCTGGGGTCAGGGTGGTGACATGAGGCAGCATTGGCGGGTCCCGATCGCTGGGGTTTCTGTTCCAAAGGCTGCCGCCGCCCTGTATTCGAAGGGACGCTCTGCGTCCGGGGGATCTTGCGGCGAGCCGGCCCTCTGCTCGCGGGAGGCGGTCTCCTGTGGGCGGGGCCTAATGCCGCGGCTGCTCATCGAGGGCTGGGCGCGGAATCTGCATGGTGGCATCGGGGGTGAGTTTGGCATCACTTCGCCAGCACAAGATACGTTGGTGCGCTTGTGCACTTGGTGCATTCGTGCCCGTTCAGATGATCCAAAAATGCGCGAAGGCACCAACCACATAGAGTATTACTGTCAGTTGGAAGCATTAGTTTGTACCAGAAGTAGCCTGCTTGCTCACAGTCGATAACTCAGCTGGATGTGCCCTGAAGCCCAACACCAAATGTCAAAACGCAATCAGTCGTGTTGTGCCTGCACCCGATGTGGGATGCTTCAGACATATGTGTTGGCTGACTGGCCGAGATAACATCATAAACTAAACAGATGATTTGAAAGAGATATTGAGTGGGCAGCTTGGATCAATGCCTAAGGCCAAACCCGCATTGCATATCGTCCAAGGGATGTCTCAACACCAGCTGCACAACTGCTAATTGTGGGTCATGAACTTATGTTTGCAAACCCCTTAAACTAGGAAATGGTGAAAGCTGGTAAGAGGGTTCTAGACGTCTCGAGGCGCGATGGGATTTGTTTGCAGAAAGAGGGGCTCCGACAAGTGTAACAACGATCTGGGGCTGCGGCAGTCCCATTGGACAATCGCCCACACTTAGTTGTTGAATGGCCATAGCGTGTGACTGCCTAGTGTGGCTGGTGAGTCACGGCCACGTTGACACTTCCTAGAGAATGTGCCCAATCCAGATCCCCAAACAAAGGGATCCCAAGGACACACAACAACCTATTACTACTCCAGCTGCAAATGCACAGGCCAGCTTAAATTGGACTGGGCTGGAGATAGGACCAGCAATCACACTCGTCACAGGCTGTGACGTGACGGGTGCTGCGTCCCTTTCCTGCCTATTCTGGTAACGCCTTACACGCTCAGAATTCCACAGAAAATTCAATTGCCCTTTCAGTCTGGCTATTTCCCTGGCCAGACTAGCAAGCTGGAGAGATTCCCCACGCATTAAAGGGCAAATGAGGAGTCCGATTAGTGCACCTATTTTCCGAATTAGTCCTGCAGTCCTCGTTGCCAATACTGGTCCTTGGATAATCAAATTGATACTCGTTAAGGTTAGTAGAGCAGAACCAACTGCCTTACAAAGTTGGGACAGTTGGTTAGGGTTTATAAACACTCTTGTCCAATCCTTTATATGTTTTCCAGGATTTTGGACATCTTCAAACGAGATCAGCACGTCATCAACATACAGTTGGACGTCCAGTTTTTAGGACTAACGTATTAAGGCTCTGTGCGAGTCAGTTTTCAAAGACTTTCTCTGACAGCTCGTTCCAGCTTTTTCGCAGCTGACGAGCTTGACCTTCTTTCAAAGATGGCCTCTGAGTCTCCTGTGTGTCTCTATACAGGTCAACCTTCACAGGAGCTGGGGGGCACCGGGATGGCACAACTTTTACCGCAGGAGTTTGAACTCCGATTTCCTGGTTTAGTTCTTTGGGGCTTTCCTCAGTCTGACTCATGCCTTAGAATCTTTCATTAGATAGCATTCAGAGGAAAATGAACGAGACTTGTATGTTTCCAGTCTTGTAATAAATTCGCGCTACTTCCAATCTCTACCCTTCTCCAGTACTGGACCTTACTGAGGCAGTACTTTGTCAGCTGCTAGCTGACCCTGAGCAAGCGCGGAATCAACTCAACTTTTCCTTACCTTTACTACTTACCTTCTCTCCCTTTATGTTCAATCAAACGCTGACCAGCCTGTAATATGGCTAATTACCACCAATCGCTGTCACTGACTGATCTCTGAGCTGTTATAGTGGTATATATCTTCTTGAACTCTGTACTTAAATCTTTACTACAGTACTTTAGTGGGAGCCCCGAAGGCTTCCCCACAGAGTACTGGGCTGGATCTGGGACCCCGTAGGCTTCCCCAGTAAATCCAAACCAAGGGAAGTTAGCTCAATATACAGCGTGTTTGGGGCCCCGCAGGTTTTCCCAATAGACCAGGCTGTAGTTTAGCTTGTATTCCCTTTAGTTAGACAAGAAATGAACAGAATCCAAAATTAAATTACAATGTGATTCTCCACGAATCACGACCTGTATTACAATTATTGGTTCAGGTTCCGTTCCCAGGTTCCTTTGCCTATTGGCTCAGGAGCTGGTCGGTTCAAACTCGCTTTTTCAAAGGGGTTCCCACCCCTCTATTTATACCCCACAGCCACTGTCCCCCACTCCCAAGAGCCCCCAGAATATTCCCCCAAAGATTCCGATCATCCCCAACCAGCTTCCTTGATCATCCCTTCCCCGTCTAGTCAACTTCCCGCTCAAACCCGATCAGGCACTGATCACCGCCCCTAACTTCACCAATCATCCCCCAGAATTCATTCATGTCCCCTTCATACCGTAAGGGTCAAATCAATATCCCCCTTAGTATACCCATTCATCCTTCTCCCAGCACTACTGACCGAATTGACACATCATACCCCTTCTGATTCAACACTCAGAGTTATGATTACCTTGCTTATTAAAACATCGGACCAAATATTCAGTAGTTAGTCATCAATACTCACTTATTGCTCAACCAGCGATTCCCACTTTATCATGCACCGTACTGCCTCAGGCCAGCCGGGGTATGACAGCCCAGTCATCCCCTCCGTTCTCTACAAACCCTTCTGCATCGACGCTGAGGTCCATGTCGGTCTCCATGTCGTCGTACACCAGTAAATCCGCCTCGTTGGCGCTGTCCTCAATCACGACGTAGCCTCTCTGCGCCTCTCCAGCGACCGTCGCCACCTCCGCGTGCTCCGCGCCGACTCCAGCCGCTGCCCTTCGCCATCAGCGACGTCCTTAGCGCCTCCTGACTCTGCCCCACCACCTGCTGCCCGATCGCGCATGCCTCAGGCCTTCCACCTCCTGCGATCACCTGATTCCATCCTCGCCCGCTTCCCCATGCCTCCGCAGCGGGCGCCACCGCCTCGATCGCGCCCACCATCGCTGAGCAGGCCTTCAAATCCAGCACCGCACCTGACCTTCTGTCAGGCCATAGACTCCAACATCCCTTGGGGCCATCGCAGGTCCACCTGGGCATGCAAAGTCCATGCATGGCGAGACGAATCGCAGCCATGCGAGCAGCACCGCCAGGCCACTTCGACTTCGCCATCGTCATCGTCCTAGCGCCTTGGCAGCCGCGCTATCGCAGCCACGTTCAAGTCCATCGCTGCAAGTCGCCACCATCGTGCGTACGCCTCAGAGGCGCCCCACAGCTCGGAGTCCAAGGTTGTCGTACGACATCGAAGGCAGCTATGACACATGACACATTGAGGCAGCTGTGGGAGCGCACCCAAGGTACGGGATGGTACCCGTGCATCCGTCCGTATTAGGTTGACATGAGTGGCGTGCACTCCACTCAAGGTTGTGACGTGAAGGGTGGTGTGGGCATAGTCACACATGACAGCCCGTCAGGCTGTCATGTGAGCGACCCAATACTATGTTCAGGCCAAGCCTGGCCCATGACGGGCATGGGCAACCTACGGCCACTTGCCATAGCGCTGAAGTCATATCATAAGACAGCGTCAGGTCTATTCTTGGGGTGCCCATGGCTCAGCAAATTTGCACCCAATCCCAGCAACGCGTCACCGTCAAGGCGAGCTATTCTAGGCAGTTGAAATCTCGTTTTAACAAACTACACATCACATTCCGTCAAGGCCTTTCCCTTTGCTGTCATATGTTCCTGTTCATCGTGTTGACATTGTCCTACGTCTACTTCAGTGAGTGAAGGACTTGTCTGAGCTATCCCTGATGATCCTGCCCATTTTTGGTTATATCGTCATGTACTATCTGTACCCCCTTTCTTTTCTTCAACCGTAACGACCTACTATTAGTGTGGAAGCTAGCCGGGGCTATCATCAAGTTTTGGTAAACGCCTTTTTCAGTTATGTTAGTTTATAAGCAGCAGAAGCCCTTTAACTGTTTCACAGCCGATTAATGGCATGCTCAAAGGGCAACTCTCTTTATCCAGTTTTTGCCCATGTGTCCTGTTGATATCCCTGGGCTGAACGCCTCAAGGCGGCCCATTCACGCACACAGCCAGTTATCCTTCTTTGGCCAAATCCTTAGGCAGACTACAGTTACAATGCACAACATCAAACGATCGTGAAGTTCAAACCCTCGGACCTTCTGAGAACTTAAGATAGCTTGTGTCCACCCAATTCAGTTTCCTGACGCTGCCTTTCTCAAGCAACTATTCACCGCTTTCCCCGAAACTTCCAGCGATCCTATTTATGATCCATCAGGCCCCAATCAGGTGGCATCAGTGTTCTTCATCATGCCCAGATCAGCCACTGAGGGGTTGTGACTGACCTTGCTTCCTTGGTCTTCTCCCTACAAACATTGTCCAGGCAGCACGTTAAGCATAATAAACTGTAACGATACAGCAAACCTTTGATATTTTCTTGATATGCCGGTTGCATAGTGGCTCTCCCTTGTTCTTTTTGTGAACGCATATCTATTTTTTCTTTTCTGGCTTCCTTTTTTCTTTCTTGTTCACCCTGACTGGCTGTTTGATAGTGGCCCAGTCAGCTGCCCTATGTAGGTCATGAGCCCGCCTATGATGTGCCGGTGCTCATGACTAACGGCAGTTTTAACATAGTCACAATTGTTATATATGATTGCTCATGGCGATGCTCCACACAAGAACGGAGCCCGTAAGCGTAGGACCCATTTCCAGCAGGCTTGGTTTTGGCGTTTACGTTTACGTTTTTACTTTAGGTTTTTGCGCGCAAAAACGTAAATTTGCAAAGGGCCCTATGTTTACAGCTATTTTTACGTTTTTACGGCTCCCTGGGACACCCAGGTTACACGATTAAAGTTGCGTACAATGGTCAGTACTGCGTCATCTCCAGCACCCACAACACAATGTCCACCTTGCCCTTGGCAAGGGCGATAATGGCGTTTAACAAAAACTCGTCTTCTGCCCCTTCCAGGGCTTCTGGCTGCCACTCTGTCCTTATGTACAACAGGCATTTTGTATGTTGCATTTACACCTTTTTACGCATTTTTACGCGCAAAAGCATAAACGTAAACACTGTCAGGTTTTATAACGTAAAAGCCAAGCCTGCATGTGGGAGAATTGAAAACGCGCTAGTCGCGAACTGTACCGTAGCATATGTCATTGGCATCCTAAATCTCAATTATCAATGCAAGACTCCAATCTCATCGAGCAGCGAACCTAATGGCGTAGAAATTTTGCCTGGCGGTCGCGTGTGTACACCAGAATGTACCAGCAACGGGCTGCAATTACAAGCACCACAGTCTATCAGCCAATTTGTTCAGCAACTGGTGGTGCTGTAATACTCTGTTCAATGATGAGAGAAACAAAACTTGCTTCTCTCCTTTGAGCAGTATGTCCATCATTTTTAACAAAGTGGAGCATTGCAGTGTGAGATGGACTGCCTGTTGAATGTGTGACAGCAGCGGCAATGCGCAAACGGACTATCAGGACCGTCAAAGGAATCGATGGCAATGATCGTCCGAATGTGTCCGAAAATGAACCGTGAAGAAAGTCCTACCTATTAGGATAAATACATTGAAATGTTAAACGCTCTCTCGATGCTAGCAAAGCGCAACACTAAAAACCGACCAAAACCCAGTACTGGGCACTAGTGGCAAGATTTTCAGGCCATGTCACATGGTATCGCTGTTGCGTAGCGTCGCTTGTATTGTAATGGATTTCATGAATTTGTGAATTCTCGAATGCAAGTGAAGTGGAGACGCTATGTCGAACTCGGTACGCTCAGCGTCAATTTGACTTTATTCTCAGATCCCCCCTTGTCGCATCATGGAAAAGAGCCTCACATACACTTGCGTAGGGGTTGGCGCGCTTTGTGTGACCTGTTTCTCTTTCTTTCTTGTAACAAATCTTACACACACATACACACACCTCCTTAGCATCAATCCTTATGTCGAAGCCAGGATGACTCCGCAAAAGTGTATAATGACGTGGTACAAAATTTATTATGTTTTGAAGAAAGAAAAGCAGCCAAAACTGCAGCGATCGCAGTGGGCTGAAAATTGGGATGAAAGAAGCCATGGCAGGTGATGTGGGGAAGCCATGAAGGCCGCCGCTTGAGATTTCACGGTGCTTCTTGTGCAGATTGAAAGCCAAAGGAGCTTGGGAGCAAGTCATACGTTTATTGCTGCTTTCCAGCAGCTTTTGGGGTATCTTCCAAGCTTATGTCGATTTTGTGGCAACTGCATAATATCTCAGCGTTGGATTCCCTGGATTGACCTCCTCTCCCAAGCGGTGCTTCAATTGCCTTGACCGCAACACAGAGACGCGCCCGGCGCGCACCCTTTGCTCGCCCTTTGACTGCCGGGGCGTAGCTTGAGGTGCATCAAACCACTATAGAATTTCACCCGGAATGCAACGTCTGCTGACCCGGACCAATTGCGATCGGCCTGCCTGGTGTTTTCGGGTATAAACGCCCCTCGCGCCCGTGCTCTGACCGCTTCTCAGCCACAGCTCTCTGATGCTCTTTGACTCAAAACCGCCAACCGCCTTCTGAAGTCGAAAACAAAGAATCAGCGAGGCCATAAGCCCCCGGCACCCTGACGGAGGGTGCATTGCGGCGCAGGGTGGAAGCCTGCAGCGTGCGCCCGGATGTCCGGCGAGGGTAGGTGTCTGTATATTGACCACAGCGCCGAGACGAGAAAAGTCTGGTCCATTGTACGTATCACCGCAATTCGTATGTTCGCAACCGACATGTGCACCTGAGTTTCGCGGCAGTAGCCTTCGCACGCTGGCGCGACTTGTTCTCGTGAAGTTATCGTTATTAGAGCGCGGCGTGACAGGCAGTGTTCAGCCTCCCCAAGTGCGCAGCGCGTGACGAGCGGCCCTCTATCTTGCGTATATTTTTCTTTGCTCCGACTGCTTTTGCGGTGGAGTTCGAGAAGTTGGTTTCGCTCCGCAGCCGTGCGTTTTCCCTGCACTCACCGGCGGGCGCGCTTTCGTTGAGCTTTTGTCAATATCTACTTATATGTAATCGCATGTACGCATTCCATGTGCATAGGATAACTATGAGTCAAACGCTCATGGATTATTGTGTTTTAAGGTCTGGTGCTACTGGTGATGTGAAGATAGCAGGCCAAATTGCTCGAGCCCACAGCTGGCATCGTCATGAGATTGAATCAAAAATCACACGCAATGCTCGCTGATGCAGCTCGAGACGAAGGTAAATCGCAAAAGTGCCACTCGTCATTGGCTTCACACTTCTCGAGTCGCCGCCCATGTCCACTCATCCGGGCAACATCGGCGGAGGCAAAGAAGAACGCTTCGCCGCGGAAGTCACCATGGAAACTCTTCTCGATCAAGCCTCCAGGGGGGGCCCGGGTGATTGTGTCTGTCACGGTTGTCACGGATCCTAGAGGTTCTTGAGAAGTTCGGGTCCTCGCGGTGGAACGACATTGCACAAACTTGGGTTTGGGGCCGAGCTTTGGGCTCTATCGAGCGCGGCAGGGCAGGGCAGTTTTAGCCACCAAGAACCTCATCAAGAGGTGGGCAAAGCCCATGATCGCTGCTGGAACGCGTAAAAAGCATGATGGCCAGCTTCGAAACAGGTAAGTACGGTGGAGGCGGCGGCTTCGGCGATGCAGCAAAGGCAAGAAGCCGGTAGACATGGCAATGGACCCCAGGAAAGGTGGACAGCTATGTCAAGCGCACTGGGCCTGAGAAGGAGCGGCATGCGCTGAGCAGGACGCTCGCAAGGTATGTTGTGCAGAAGGCCGAGGTGGCAAAGCCTATGCGGCTGGGAAAGAAGGTCTTCGTGTCAAGGAAGCAAAGTGCTGCGGTTTCCACGTGACAGGTGGGCAGCGCACTTGGACGACAATCGCGATCAAGCTTGAGAATGAGTGTAGGGCAGTCAGTGCTTGATGAAGTATGTCTGTTTCGTTGCATGTGCACTGCACAAACGACGCCTTGCCCGACTAAGAGTGCCTGCCAGATAGACTGTACAGAATGCCCATAAATTTTGTTTTCGGGCTGCATAAAGTGATCGCTTTATGTGATTCACCCATCATTACGTGCTTCGTTCATCACCAAGTGAACATTTGTTAATCCGTCATGGGGGATTTGGCCGCAATTGCAGGTCCCGTGCTCGACACGAAGGATTGGACTTTTCTTCGTGAAACTGCGTCTCGTGAAAGAAGGACGACTTTACCCTGCGCATTAATGTTCTCACCGCCAATGTGGCTCACTGTGGTGCAGGTCGCTGTTGATTCGTCACGTCGCGCACTGGTCAGCGACCCGGAGTCAAAAAAATTTAATCCTGGTGTTCGACACGCATGCCTTCGGGCTGATTGTTGGGCCACCTGGGAATGCGTTGAAAGGGGCTGCAGATTCGGGGAGAGGCTGTGGACGCGCCTCACTCTTGTGTTGCGCGTGGACGTCACTGCATTTGAGCGTGCCCTTTGCTAAGCTTCTCTTCTTGGGGAGCTATATACAGGGCCAGCGCGGTGAAAACGGACATAATGCTGGCACAGGACATAATGTTGGGTCCTTGCAACAGCCGTTACCTCTGGTGAGGTGTGTGTGGCAAAGGATATTTGGGACAGCTTGTGATTTAATCCAAGAAGTTGGCAACTTCTTCCGGTCAAATGTCATTCGAACCACTCCAGCAAATTCTGCCAGACTCTCCAACTTCTGATCGTCAACGACTGGTCCCAGTGGGACAGTGGGAAAGTATTACTCGTGCTTCATACAAACAATGGAAAAGAGGGCCACATTTCGCAGGCAGAAACGGGCGCTTTCCGCACAGTTTCTTCCTGTGACAAATTCCCGAAAATCGTGTTTCAGCTGAGCAAAGCATGTTCAGACGGAGACCAATCCTAAATTCCGGACGCACGTTTCTGGCCATCCGATTTTGGTGCCGTCATCCATCACCCACCAATCCCCAGAGTAAGTGTGACGTTGAGTGCATCGACATAGTGCCACCACGTACTGCAATGTGAAGAGGAGCGACACATCGAACATAGCGCAGGTCTCTACTGGGGTCGGACCATCACACAGCAATTTCAGTGGTCCATAGGTGCAATACAATGCTTGGCAATCCCAAAGCCGCGAGACGAACTCTTTCTTCAGCGTGCGCAAAGGTGGAGGGAAAGCAATGGATTCTCCTGTTGGGGTGGAAGCTGAAAATTTCCGCCCCCTCGTCAGTGCTTTCGCTGCACGCTGGTGGAAGAATTGTTTTGAATGAATCTGCAACGAAATCCGTCTACTTGAGAATCGCTCAATGCACCACTCCCCTCCCCAGCCAACCATTCGGTCATCTGGTTCACATGGTCGAAGGACGCCATGAACACACACGCATTTTTGCGCAAAGACCAGGATCCTTGAGCCGCAATACTAATCACACCAAGGCTTAGCATGGGATTTGGCCTGCTTACAAACAGACTAAACCAGTTCACGAGCAACCTAAACTATTTGTCACACATTCTGCACGTCACTGTCATCGATGCAATGGCTCCTGGCCGCTTGCTTGCTGCTCTGAGACCCCGTTCGCGGTTTGTCCCATTTGCGCCTTGTGGATGGTGTAAGAACTCATCTCACTGGGCAGCAGGACAGTGAATATTGGGAACTCGATGACGACCCTTCCCACCAGCTGCTCCCGGAGCGGTGCTGCCTTGTCCAGCAGGTAGTAGTCAACCTCGTTTGCCTGCAGTAACGCCTTTAGTCAGTCAGTGCCCTTCCCGTCAATCCATCCGTTAATCAAGCAGTCAAGAAGTGAAAAAGAATCAACACAGCATATATGCTACAGGATATGATGCACATCAAAGCTGTTGCCATGCGTGCAACAGAACATTGTGTGACGGATGCACTATGCGCATGACAGAACAGTGCACAGAATTGGAAAAGAATAACAAGGCCGCGCAGGTGGCTTTTAGTGCCCTGGATGCAAGTACAGAAAACACGCTGAGACTGAACGATTGTGGATGGGAGCGGCATCCAGCACCGCCTCGCAGTTGCGAGGGCTGTGCATTGACATACTTTGGAAATGCCACCAGTGAGGGTTTCTACTGCGTAATACGTCCACCAGTGTCGACATGCGGATGGAGACCTCACAAAACACATCGGGATCACTCGGCCGGAACAAACAGACATCTCTCGTTAGCGGCTGCTATCGACGATTAATGAGGCAGTATTTGAAGAAAGACACCTGTGTGAGCATATGTTTGTGTTCAGCCCCCCCTTCGTCACCCTTACCCCACCCTTCGCCCTACTTCACCCCGCCCCACTCCCTTGCTTCACTCTTACCCCACCTCACCCTCTACCCGCCCCCTTAATTCCCCACCCCTTCGCCTTCCCTCACGCCCTCTAATTTCCTACCCCACCCACCCACCCACCATACGCCACACACACACACACACACACACGCTCTTTCGCCTCGTCACTTTGTAAAACCATCTCCCCACCACCACCACCACCACCAGCATCAATCCTTATGTCGAAGCCAGGATGACTCAACATCATTACGTAATGGTGTGGTGCCAATTTTTTATGATTTGAAGAAAGAAAAACAGCCAAAACTGCAGCGATTTTATTGGGCTGAAACTGAGACGCAAAATGCCATAGCAGATGATGGGGGGCAGTTTTGAAGGCCGTCAATCGAGATTTTATGGGGCCTTTTGTGAAGACTGAACGCCAAAGGGAACGCCAAAGAGACCTTTTGAGCAAGCCATACGCTTATTGCTGCTTTTCAGCAGCTTTTGGGTTATCTTCCAAGCTTATGTCGATTCTGTTGCAATTACACAAAATCTTAGCGTCACAGGTCGGCCCCCCCTCCCCCCCCAATCCCCTTAGCGTCAAATTGACGCTAACCATAGCACTTTCGACATAGTGTTTCCCCCTACACAGCAGTACGCGACATGGACATAAACCAAGTACTTGGTACCTAATCCTGCACTAACTTTGCCTAAATGGTCGCTAAGGCTAAGGTGTGCTTAAGGCGTATTAGACCCATGATGGTTTGTAAGATGTTCAAGATTTCAAATGCCATCTTGAACCAGTCGTCTCCTGAGGGAAGCCTGACTACTGGACGTGGGGTAAAGTAGAGGTAACCTATGGTATGGCCACCGCTGTCTCCTTCCAATGCTCGCAATTCCCTACCCATTCAAAGGACGTTGCAGGATGACTACGCCAGGCATCCGCAACGATTGAATTGGCAATCGGCAGAGGAGCCTATATTGTAGTGCACATAGCCCAATGTCGAAGAAGCGATAGTCTTAAAAGGTACAAAGGAAGCAATGAAGTTCATTATTTCTAGGTGTTTTTCAGGAATTCTGCATGCGCAGTTCTACCGACCAGCTGGAGTCGTGAAATGGGGAGGCGAGGGAACGAACATCGTGGTGCAGCTAGACTGCACTCCCCTGACAGCAGCATTGGCAGTTCCGCAGTTAAAGTCAGTGACAAAGTTTGAAGGGGGCAGAAACGCGTCAGCACTGCAGCGCCCAGAGCCAACAGCCGTATTAACGGAACGTCCTTTTCTTTGTTTGCAGTTTTCAACAACGTGCACAACGAGTGAGACACTTGAATGCAACTAGGATCCAGCCCTCTGGACTGAAAGCAGGCATGAAGCCAACACCATCGGGCGAAGGCACTGACGCAGTCTATAAAGTCTATTGGTCCCCTACCATCGCCGCACACTTGACTCGTGTTCTGACCCACCTTGCACCTTTCCCTTCGCATTACTACCTGCAGCTGCTCCACCCCCGCCTCTGAGTAGGGTTTGAGTTTGTGCAGCAGAGCTCCCTTCCCAATGGCGAAATTCAGGTGCTTTTGCAGCAGTTCATCTAACCTGGTGTCCTCATCAACCCTGTCCACAGGACAGTAGCACACCTCAAGGGACTGAGTGACTACTTTATGACAATCTACTGCGCGTGCACACATTGCCATTCCTTGTCGTGTTGATACCTGGTATCAGCAAATGGATCGGAAGAGTTACTCCCAAGACAACAGCTTGAGGCAGGGATGCTGCAGAGAGTAGTGAACGTGTTGGAGGATGGAATACATCTGCCATGAACAAAATGCACCTCCTTTCATTACTTTGTCAAAAAGTGAGGAATACAGTACTCGCACCTGCAAGGTGATGTCAGGCACAAGTTTACGTGCAGATTCTCCAAAATGTGACTGCCAACAACCTAAATGCTTGCCTCAAAGTCCATTTGGGCCATATTCGACTTGGCCATTAGCAAAGTGGCTGAGCATTGCTGCAAACAATCACACCACCAACTCTGTCTCGCACCCTTGCTTGGTGGGTTCATGAGGGAGATTGAAGTTTTGGCAACGCTGAATGGACCCAAACTGGAAATGTGCCATTGTGAACTTCCCTTCTAACTGAAGGCATGTGCGCCAGTGCTTATTGCAAATTGTGCCATGGCTCAGGCCAACATTTGGTTCACAGCTATGAATCTCCTCTGTCAGTACATTATACTTCCTAGGAGTCGGGATTGGACAGCCAAGAATGCTGCCGCCAACTGAATCCCAAACAAACACACAAAGTAGCAAGAGACAGCTACTGCCAGTTCCGGTCCTCACTATTTTCCTTCGGAATGTGTGCACCGCCAACACGGCTCTGGACTCCGCTGTAAGCTATTTGAGGAGATTGAGGCCCTTGGTAAGTTTGTTTTTGGAGCTTGGGGACATGAAACATTCAGTGACAAGAATGCAGTACAAAAGTTGATGCTTTGCACAGCATCTTCCAGAAACACAGGGCAGGAGGTTTTGGCAACATCAAGGTACCTCTTCTCCATTATTTCTACTTTGGCACAGGCAAATCGCCACTCGATGTCCCAGTGAATGCGTTGTCTTTTGATGTTATACCAAGTGGAGTTCAAGCGCTGCCGCTTCATCCCTGCGAAAGCAGAATCAACAATGGTCAGAAGGGATTCCCTGCCATCGGCAAGGAGCAGGCCAACAAACAAGTCACACATCGCATCTGATGCATTGGTGCATGAAACAGATGGAACTCTGCACCTGGCTCTTACTAATATCAGCCACCAGAAGCACAGTGACTTGCCACACCCACATCAAACATGACAAATACGATGACAGCATACCAATTGGCAACGTGTATGAAGAACCGCAGCCTGTACAACTATTGGTTGATGTTAAGCTAGCAGCAGCAATGTTTGAGGGAACAAGAACACCATTAAATGCTGCCGAAACTAGAGAGTTGCGACTCATTCTTTGGAGGTTCCCATTGGCTTAATTCAGCACCTTGTGGGAGGAACTGAAGGGCAACATGGCGCTTCTGTGCCTCACTCATGAGTATCTTCATTCTCTTTGGCCATTCTCTCATGCCCCTGTGACTGGGTCTGTGCCTTGATGCACAGTCACTGGCGGTCTTCAGCTCTTCCAGGAATCTGAAATCTGGGCAACACAACATACTCAGACTGATTGAGTGGCATTGGGGCTCTTCAATGGATGCACAGTTTGTCCCTCACCACATTCTAGGTGTTGGGTATGATTTGTCAACATCTGCAACGGCAGTTTCAAGGTGTTCCACACTGCAGGTTTCAACGTGATGGCAGGAAAGGTTCGATAAGATGTCCTGCTGTTCACGAGGCTGTAGCTGGATGCAACGATCATCACAAGAAACTGCAATGTCAGGTTGAGAAAAATTCGGTGTCGAAGCAGCACTGATGAGAAATGAACAACAACCACAATAGTTGTCTGCACAGAAATTCGTCTTGCACTTGCATTTGAGGTAGCACAACATCCAAGTCCCATTCATAAGCACAGTGGACAGGAGGCTGGTGTTGGGGGTGGGAGGGCCCCTGCACTCCCGAATGTGTTGTAGGAGTTTTGGAATGTAAAATAGACAACAAAAACAAAAGCTTTGGAATCCAAACATTCACTGTGCACTGCATATTACTGTCTGTGGCATGCCCACAGGTTTTGGCTTCAACATTGTGCATGGGACAGGCTCAGAACTTGCATCTTCTGCATGCATTCCACGACACAGCACAGAGGCTCACATAAGAATTTGAGAAGGGGCGGGTTCCCTTTGAAGGGCATGCCTCCTGTCAACACAACAGAATTTGCCACATCTGGGACTTCAACAACATACCCAACAAGATGGTAGACACAAGAAAGAAGGTACGTGAAGAGCACCACAATCAGGAGAGCCCCTGTCAACAGCCCCACCTGACAAGAGGTTCGAATCGGTGAAATCCTTGATGGAAATGAAGTCTGTCCTGGACCTCTTCCCACTGCACTGTGCTGCTTCCTTGTGCCCTCTGACGCAGGCCAGGCAGCATGTGCGGGTGCTGCAGCCTGGACACCGATACTTGGCTGGGCACTTCTGACACACCGAGCACAGCGGCAGGCCCACAGGGGCATTGCATTGCTCTGCAATATCAAATGCAAACAAGTCCATCGTCCGTAAATCTGCCTGGAAATTTGCACACGCACCAGCCGCAATTCCATGAATTGCAGTTGCCAAGCAACTGTGACAAACTAAACCTTCGCGTCTTGCAGGCGCTTGCGGGCGATGAAATATCCAATTGGTGTTTGTTCAGTGTCCCGAGACTGTCAATCAGCTTACCTCCCAGCTGCACACTGTGAACAGGGCGCCCAACGCCTCGCACTTTCCTGGCAGCTTATGGAGGAGAAGACAAGAATGATGCACCCCTTTCTTTCTGAGCCAAAAGGGGCTGGTGGGCGGATGGAAAGGAACCATTTAGCTGACATCCAAGCACTGCTGAAGGTTTTTGCCGAACGCCGCAAGTCTTTTACCTTCCAGTGTACCCTTGGTCGCCAAAATACAATCCATTAGGGTGCTTAAAGCGTAGGGGGCAGAGGGCTTACAAAGCCAACGCAATGCCCATGGCACCCAAACATCCCCGTCCATGTTTCTTCACCAATTTGCCTGTTCAAGTCGACAGCTAAACAATAGCCAGCGAGCAAGGGAACCTGATCCAGACTTCTGAAGCTGAGTGCCAAGAAAGGGCGCAATCCTTTTCACATGACGGCACGCGAGGCACTCTCCCCCACGAATAAACGCCGTCCATCCCCAAACCAGCCCACGCCGTTGATTGGTGTGCCCAAGTCACTGACTCCAAATCAATTCTTCGAGCGCTTTTGCCCCGCCTGCCCCCGTCCGCGCGGGATACAACAACCCCGGTGCTGCTTCTCACGGGCACGCCCCCCTAACTCGATTCCGCACTGGAATGCCCACCTTCTGCATGGCTGTCGTCTTCGCCCATCACGTGAGAAGGGGAGGCCTTCGATCGCTGTGCTTCGATGTCCAACGAAGCGCACTCGAGCGACGAGGGGGGCCGGGCCCCGGCCGCCGACGCCTGTCGGCTGCCCATGCCGGGTGGAGTGCCAAAGCCAGGTCCGCCAAGCGTCCGCGCGCAGCGACAATGTGCTCAGTACATTACGTACATAGTACACGCTCAGTCACCCTTTCAGGAAACGCGCTGCGTGCATGCACTTAAATATCGGGGGGCCTTGCCCACCCGTTTGTAGACTTGCTTCTTTACGTTAACTCGGGTAAGGAGGGCACACTCGGGGCGCCTGACCATCTACTCTAAAACTGCAGAAAACATACGCAGAATCTCTGCACTTTTAACACCTCGAAGTTCCGAGTGCCGTCACACCAGTTTGCCAATTGTCTCTCCTTACATTAAAATTCAAGCCAATAACCTGGGAAGGGGTGGACGGGAGCGAAAAACGAGACAGCCACACACTCGTTTCGCCAACCTTTAGTCCCAAGTTCCCCGTTTGCACGGATCGTCTCGAAACTGCGTTCCCAGCCGTGCAAAACTGTGCTCAGTTCGGTTTCCTGGACTTTATCACCAACCCCGCCCTGAAACAAGGGTCGCTGCCGATAAGCTAGCCACAACTTTAAGAGTTGTGCCAAACACTTTCTCACTGAGCCAGTCATACCCAGTTTGCGTAGCGGCAACGCCATTCACACAGAATCCAAGTGTGCCCACAACGGACACTCCCGTTGGCCGTCCAAAGTTCCCTCCCAACGGCCCTAATCCCGATTTAAACACATTCACTCCATTACATTCCGTCAATTCCGCTACAAAGTATTGAGACCTGCACCACAGTTTCCCAAAAAAAGTGGTCTACTTTAAGAAGGTGATAATAATTCCAGGAAGTAGCACTTAACCGTAGCGGGCGATACCATACCGATACGTTTAAGAATGGAGCACGGTGGGCGCCGTTGTCCTTTTGCCGAAATCGTGGTCTTTTCAAAAGCCACGAACAAACTATTAAGAGATCTGCATTTTCAGCAAAAAGACTGTTTGCAACACCGACACAGGCTCAGCCTTTACGGCATGAACATGTTTGTGTTTGTTCCTATTTACGCGTAAAGAATGGTTTTTTACGTTTCTACGCATACATAGGCGTAAAAATGCGTAATAATCATCCCCGTGTACTTCAAGACAGTACATACCAAATCAGGCAGGCCGGGGAGTGGAAGGTAGACGAACTGAAATGTCCATAAAACGGATTTTTGCGCGACGACGTCGTTGTCCTTGCCGAGGGCGAGGTGGCCCCTGCGTTGCCAGCGCCCAAGCGGTTGGAGAATTCATTAGTGCTTGGGACGTCATCGTGTAATCTGGGCCTGTCGACGAGCCACAAACATGCGCAAATATTGCCTTGAAAATAGACGCTTATCTATTTATGCGTTTTTACGAGTAACAACGTTAGCGTAAAAATGGAGCCGTAAGCGAAAACAAGTTGATATTAAACGAGGTGAGTTCTGCTTGTTGCGGACCGTCCACAACGTGTAACCCTCACCGGGCGTATGCGGCCACTTTGCCCGTGGCAAGGAGCCGTACATCGGCCACCCGATTCGCTGGCATCAAAGGCAACTAATCAAAGGGGACTGGATTACCTGATGCAATGAATGCGCCATATCGACTAGCAGCAGGAGAATACCATGGACGGGACGAAGTCGGATTCAATTGAACATATCGATTTTCGGCCAAATACGCACAGGAAAGACAGGAACGTCGTCAGCGAGAAGAGCACGTCGACGCACAGCTCGAAGCCTCTCCCACAGGCCCCCCGCACCAAGTCCCGCGCTTCCCGCCCAGGCGCCCCGACGCACACCGGCGTGGCCTTCGTGCGCCACGACATTTCGCCGCCTCCAGCGGCCCGCCGGGGGGCGCCAGACCTCAGCAGGAACGAGAGCAGCGCCGCAGCGGCCCCTCCGCCTCCAACAGGCGGACCGCCCCGCCCTGAGGGTCAGCCGCAAGTCGCCTGGACGTCAGCACAAAGGCGACCTCCAAACGAAGAGCAGAAAAAGGAGCGCAAAGCGGCGCGCCGAGGGAAACTCCCCCCCGTTCCTTGAGGCACGGGCTGGTTCGCGGGACGGGGGAGGGACCGCAGATTGTACGGCGCGGCGGCCCTTGGATGAGCGGTGGGGCGTGAAGCGGCGGATGGGGCTGTGATGTCCATGGGCGCGTGCTCCAGCATCGGGAGGTGGGAGGAGGCACAGGTGGTGGCGCAGCCGGGCCCCAAGGGCCGCCTGGAGCCTGTGCGGGGGCCGCCGTCGAAGGCCGGGAGCATGGGAGGGCTGAAGGCTACGCTGCAGGCGTGGTCTTCGTGGACAGGCATGGAGGCCAGGGGCGGCGACGGCGGGTGCCAGCACTGCGGAAAGGTATTTTCTTGAATTGTTGACGGTGTCTCATTGGGGCGAATTGACAAGTTTCGACTGAATATGAATATCATTAGTTATGTTTTTAATTAACATGTTAATTATTATTAGCTGTTACTACTAATTAGCGCAGTTCGAGGCGGAAAGCGGCCGCTAGATGCTCCCTTGCACTGGAAAGCCGACAGATTGGCCGATTCGACCAAAAAAGTGTTGGTGAGCCGAAAGTACCCTTTCGCAAGGACGCGATCATGGGCAGAACAGAGAGCGATTTGCCATTGCTGTTGCTGCATTCTGACCAAACTTCTGATTGGTGCCTGTTCAGCATCCAGATCCTCGCGCAGTGAAAGCAACGATACATCAAACCGCCAACTGCTTTCAGTGCAAATCTCACGATTGGCGCCATTATTGCTCCTGGCACGAGAATTAGTGCGAACACTCCACTCATCAGTCACCGTCATTCACCCGCCCACCTGCTCACCTGTCAAGGATCCCCCTCATAGAAATAATCACACAACCTCATAATATCTTTGTTTCAATGCGTGCAATCTAATACAGAGTACTCTATCATCTGTACTTAGGGTCGGACGCACAGGGAGACGGCAGCAGCGCAGCCCAAACCCTCCCTTCAGGCTGCTTCCAGAAGCGCATTGCGGGCGCTGAGGGCTGCAAATGCCAGAAGCGAGCTGACGTCAATGTGGCATGGGGAGGATTGGGAGCACACGGCCGGTATCAAGGTGGATCGGGGCAATGTCATGGGGATGTGAGTGAAGCAGGTGTAGTGGCCTTGAATCGACCATTTCCTCGTTCATCGACATGAAAGTACGCACATGCGTCCTGCTTCGAATGGTTTAATTCGTGTGAGTGACTCTTGGCGCGTTTTTTCTGCGCATGTGTTGCACCGCTTTGTATTTCCATGCATCTGAGTGATTGTTTTAACGTAGGAGAATGTTTGAATATGTTCAGAATTACTGAATATTCAACGGGTTTGAAAACAAAATGAAAACTGAAATGTCTTCAATTGCTTAAATATAAAAAGATTTGCGCAAAAACAATGAGGCAGCGGGAGACGCCGCATCGTGGCACCAGTGCACGTCTATTTCATCTTTTATTCATGACCGCAGCAACCATGGAATGTAATTGCATCGGATACAGCAATTATATTGCATTGCTAATGTCCAGGTGGTTCAATATGCAGATATGTCGGCAGCTGCGGCATAAACATCGTTCCTGCAGACATCGGGCGTTTTGGAGCGTTGAAAACATTGTAAGGAGGCCGGTATGAAACAAGAGATCGAATTTGAATGCAAATCACTTCATCCAAAGCATTCGAACATACACATTGAAATACATTAGCAGTGGATCAAATTCGAAATTCAACGTGTTCATTCGATTTTCAAACCTCCATTTATGATACACACTTTTTTGCACTTTTGTGGTTCATAATTGGTGAACCTCTCGTGGCTCGCTCGCTCACTCAGGGTCCTCACAGCCAACAACATTGCGCGGCTGCCTCAGGAAATAGGACATCTGACGAGCCTCCGCACACTGTAAGTCAAGGGCGAGTCAACTGCCGTACAGGTCAGAATCGTTGGGCGATCCCTTCAACATCAGTCGCCAGATGCGCTGCAGCGCTTGCGCACCTTGTAGTTGAATTATCTTTGTTTATTACTTCTTCCGTTTCAGATTATTTGTCGTCTATTTGGAAGGCTGCATTTGTTACAAGAACAGCCTAAGAACTCTAAAACAAGGTCAAAATC